AGATGATCTTTGAAGACTTACCAGGAAGCCTTTATTTTTTTGCTACTTTTTCCTTTACTGAACATATTAAAAATTCATCTAAGTGCTTTTCTCTTAGCACACTAGAGAAACTAAAATATTCATATATGATATTTTAATAACAATTTTCTAGTAAGACTGGCAAAGCAAGCTCCTTTGGTGCTGTGGATTTATAACACAACACTCTCCAAGCAGTGGTCAGAGCTGTTCTTTGGTAGAAATCTCAGGTTCTCCTATTAAAAATTAATGCAAATTGTTTTTCATTCCCCAGTAATCACAGAATTGTGCTGTCCTTTTGAAACAACCTTATAAGAGCTCATGAAAATCAGAAAATAGATGAAAGACAATTATTTCATGAGCTAATAAAAACTTTTTTTCTTAAGTTTGGAAGTGCCTGAGCACACTGAACAGAAGATTCATTTAGAAGTGGATTAGAGACATTTACAACTAAATGCTTGGTGCATACTAATAAACTCATACAATTTGGGTATTGTCTCCACAGGAGAGCTGATAAAAGGACAAAAATGTTGTAGATTTCAGTTACTTATTAATGAAGTTTTTATTAGAAATTCTTACTTGAGAATTTCCGTAAGTTAATTATTTGCCAAATATTTTACAAGTGATCTCATTGTTGTGCATTCTTAATGGTTAAATGGCTACTTGAATTAAGTTGAGCTTTTCTATTGTGAACTTCTAAGGCTATCTTTCACATAAACAAGCTGGTTTTCCGTTGTCTTACTTGGGTATAATCACTATCAGCGTTGTAAATGGGAAACTGGAGTTCAGTTTCCCGAGTGCATTCAGGTGTTGTTTTTTTACGGGTTGAGGTGGAAATTTCGTGACTGCACAGAGTACCTAACAAACTCTGTTATGGTTATGTCTGTTAGACATTGAACATATCCATAGAGCTGCAGTGCTCATTAAAGAATGTTTATGCTGATAAATCCATTCTTGTGCTTCTAGTACAGCATTGGGAAATTTCCCTTAGCAGCATGTTGGGTACCTGCAAGTTTACTGAGCTTATAGGATTTGCATTATTAATTTATAGGGTATGATTTCAGCCATTCATTGCCTCTAGCAAGTATCAGGTTTTTAATGTGATAAAAATACTGCCTGTTAGCATTTTAAGATGTGTATGTACGTATGTATATATGCCATGCTCCATCTCTCTATATATGTACTAATCTGTGCATGTGTCTGTATATATAAAATACTGCTCAGTTCCTTTAGTTGTGCAGCGTTGTTGTGTTCAGTCAGTATTGTTAGAGTTGTTGAAAACTGCTCAGTCTGTATCACCTGCATTAATGAGGTCCTTGATGCTACTCAAATCAGCCGCCTTCCCTGAAAAGTTACAAACTGCTACCTTTATAAGATAAACAAAAAAAAAATTAAACTTGATCCTGTGAGGCAGGGCACCAAAAACTACAAAAATATTGTAGTAAAAATGGAGTAGAACACTTTATTTTAAGAGGTTAGAGATGAGGGGTTGTGTTTGCAATTTTGAGGAGCCAAATGGAGTGGTGTGGCTGCAGGCAGGGCAGAGCCCAGCTGTGCTATCCAGAGCTCGCTGTGCTCAGCAGGGCAGGTCCTGCCTCTCCCAGCTCCCACGTGGTCCCAGCCCCTGTGTCTGCTTTCTATTTTGATTGCAGTGGGTTATGCATTATGGTGGATTAGATACATGCCATGAATACTCTTAACATCCAAAATATGAACCAGTCAGATTGTTTGTGCTTTTGGACGATGTACAGAATTTTTCTGAAGTTTAACTGTTTTTGAGGTTGTGTGTTAGGTGGAGGGTGTATTAGCTACATAGATCCTTCAATATCTCCTGTTATTATTGCAGTTCGTGTAGAAATATTTTTTATTAAACATGATTAGGCTTTCTATGTAAGGGTGGCAACCTGTAATTTCTCTTCTGGTTTCCTGTCAAAGTTTAAACAAACTGCTCTTGTCTCCTGAGATCATTCTTTGACTCTTGGAGTCACATGGAAGTGTTGACTGCTGTTCCGTGTCTGGAACAGCTTGTGACTGTTTACTGGAAAAAAGCAGCAGCTACATTGTAGAAATGTGCAGTGTAGTATCTCTGAATAGCTCGGTTGTTGTCTTGTACAGGAGAAATCACCTACTCTACTACAAGCACAAGAAGAGTTCATTGAGCAAGTCCCGTACTTACTACTCACGTTGTTTATCTAATTTCCTACATTTTAATTTTGAATGGTTTGCTCCTTTTTATATTGCTCATTGTAGATGTCCAGATGAGGGAACCTGCATCTTGGGGCGGGGGGAAAACTCAATTTCTAGAGGTGTTGGAAAACTGCATCGATTAAATTTGCAAGCTTGCTCATGCTTCGGCTGAAGTTGGTGTGCACACATTCTCTGTCCTGCCATACCTTAATCCTTAGGTTCAAAATGGACAGTTATGTGTTAGGGCTGAAAACCTGAGAGCAGAAGATGTGCTAGGCCAGAAAATCCAGAATGTATTTCTGTTGGATGAAATGAAATAAATGCAGTTGCACTAAAATAGGATTAGAATTAACACGTTGCAGTGTAACCACACAATTATGAGGAATGGAGGAGGGAAGTAAAAAGGACTGGCTTTGGAAAGAGAATGATATAGCAGGCATGTTTTAAACTGTAGTAAATTCAAATAGAAGATGTGTGAATGTATTTCATTACTGTTTGGTTACATCGAAGTAATGAAATACTGAAATAGTTTGATAACAGTAACTTGCTTTTAGAAGTGTCTTGTATATGACTGTAAAAAATATTATACTTGGTAACAAATAAGTGAATAAGAATAAAAAGATAAGTGAAAAAAAAGCTATGGAAGTTGCATTTCATTTCATGGTGTATTTAGCTCTCCATATTTTTTATAAAAAATGCAGTGATACACTGGCAATACGGAGAGAGAGGAATAAAAATTACTTAGAACTCAGTGAGGAGGTTTTTTTTTTTCATACACAGGAGGTGACTTAGAACTTCATGTTGAAGAGTTGAGGACTTAATACCAACACTGAGAAGTTGCTTCAGTAAATGGTTTGGGCTTTTGCAGTTATTTAAGTAAATAGATTATTTGAAGAAATGCTGGGCATTAAGAAGTTTCAGGCCAGACCATGCTAAGTATTGAAACATTTTCATTACAATATTTAACAGAAGTAGGACTTGTCATTCTCATGTACCCCATTATATGACATTGTTTTCAGCTGCTGTGGACTTGGATGAACTTTTAACTATTTGTACTGAAGCTGTCAGTGTCAGATTTTTTATTTTCATATTCAAAAGCTTATTTAAGCATATTTTAGCACTGTTTGAGGAAAGACTTTAAAGCTCCAGGAGATCTGTTTATAGACATTTTCACAGTTCCTGCCACTTCTGACATAGAATATTCATGTATATGATAACACAGGTCAATGAAACTTGTTTCCTAACATCTTCAAACAGTCCCAGAACACAAATCGTAATTCTGGCAGCTCAAGGCTACAGACTTAGACCAAGACATTTGTACAGCTGAATAACTGAGCCAAAAGCAGAGGTGCTGCTGCTGCTCTTAGTGACTTCCAGGCAGATCCCTGATCGTCTAAGGGGCAGGAGCTCCAGCAGGACAGCTGAGTGAAATAGCTCAGGGTGAGGAGCATGTGCAGGGAATGGGCCTCCCTCGAGACAGCAAAAGGTGAATTTCTCTCAAGTGTCTGGGACACTAAAGGCAGTCCTTTCAAGGTGTGGTTACTTGGCTGCACTGATAACCACCTGAGGAAAAGAGCTGCTCTACAGCAGGATATAAATGGGGAATTTATTCCAGGCTGTGGTTCTACTCCTTGGACATACAGTAACTGCTTCCTGCCAGCACAGCTGCCTGGAGAGCTGTTTCCATGCAGAACAGGACTGAGATGGCATTTCGGGCAACTGGGACTAAACATGCCAAACCTATTACGAGCAAATTAGGCTTCAGCAATCTTTAGTTCTTAGTTTCTTCTCAGCAAAATCTCAGAGCCAATATGAAATTACACTTTTCTTGGAACACACTTGTACACTTGTACTCCCACGCTATTTATGGTAGACAGCAGCAGCAGGGAGGTGGTTGATCTGATGACAGAAGTGAAAGCCCTGTACAGGAATAAAAGGAATTACCAAGTTAGATTACTGAAGGAAAAGTTACTGTTTAGCTTTTGGAAATGTTGGCTGTGGAACTGAAAAGTATCATTTTGTGTAGTGATTTACTTTTTAAATGGTCCTCAGCCTCATTTGCTTATATCCTTTTTTTATTTTATAGCTTATGCCAGACCAATCAGCATTTTTTTTTCTTCTTTTGGATCTTTTATTTTATGAAGGAAACCAAGGAAATGTCTCCTTCATTAGACAGTCACAGTAAAAAGTTGGAACTGTTTTTGTGGGGTTTTTTTAATTCACCTGAAAATGTCTTTATGAATGCAAAATGTGATGTGGCCTGATGATTCTGAATTCAGAAAGTTCATAAAACTCTCTGAAGTACTTAACAATAACCAGCTAATTTCAGGTTTTAAAATAAATACTAGCTCAAGTACAGGAATGTATGCTTGTTTAAAGAACAGTCTTGTTCAAACCAACGAATTTTTTATAGTGGAGAGTTGCAGATCTTGATCTCTGTATCTAAGGGAAGTGGTGTGTCGTGGTTTTGTCGGGTTTGACTCTGGGTTCAGTTTCTTGTGGGGTTTCTTTCGGGTTTTGTTGTTTGAGGGTTGTTTTTTTTTTTTTCGTTTTAAGTTGGTTGGTTGTTTTGGGGTTTTGTTTTATTTTAACTACTGTACAATATTGTCCATTTTGGAACAGTAATTTTCTCTTTTCCCTGGAGTGGTGTTAATTAAACTCCATGTTTACCCAGAAGAGGTGGATAACTTGAAACCAGTAAACAGTTAGGGGCTCCTTGGTACTACAGACTTAGAATTGTTGTACCTACAGGATTTATATAGGCTTCTCCTTTCTCTCCTCCCTTTCTTCTGTTTTAGGTGAAATTGTGGTGAACGAAGTAAATTTTGTAAGAAAGTGCATTGCAACAGACACAAGCCAGTATGACCTGTGGGGCAAGTTGGTTTGCACTAACTTCAAGATTTCCTTTATTACGGATGACCCGATGCCACTGCAGGTTGGTTATTGCTCACACGGCTGCATCATCAATGTGAAAAGTGAAATTATTCACACAGTCAGTCTGTCTCATATCTGATATAAATGGATGCCTTCTAAGCAGGCTGCAGGATGAGGTTCCACTGTCCTGTTCTGAATGTGTCACTATTCCATCCATTCTTATCAGAATAAGAGGAAATTTGTACAGAAGTACATCCAGCTCCATTCACCTCCATGTGTGGAGGCTTCCCTGGGAAGTGGTTTTACCAAGCAAAGCAGGAATTACACACAGATGTGTTCCTCCTCAAAGGAGCCCTTTGCAAATGTCCCTTAGACTAGACAAGTGTCAGATCAGCAAAGCTCTTCATGTGGTGGAGTTTTAATGGTGTTACTGATGGAGGGCAAAGTACCATGAAATGAGTTTTCATTGTAGATAAAGCAACAAGAAAAGGGGAAAAGAATTCTTCTGCTTTGTCAAAGCAGAACTCATGACATTCAAAATCATGATCAGGTTTTGAAAGCACAGCACACAACACTGGAAATCCAAGTAGTGAGCTGCATATTATTTTCAGTAGAGTTTGCACTTCCATTTGGGGCTTTTAAAGGAAATGTTCCATTAACTAAAGATGTGTAAAGCTCTGAAAGTAGATAGATGCTTATTCAGTAATGGTTAGGAAGACTGACCAAAACTACTTCAAAAAGTTAATTTTTTACTTTTGGCACTAAGTAGTTATCAAAACTTGTCCCTGAAAGTAGAATTCATTTTTTTCTTTCTATGCTTAAAAAAATTAATAACAATTGTAGATTTCTTATATTCTGTTATATATATATAATATACTTCAAATTGTATTGAATTTCTAACAGTAATTTTTTATACTAATTCAGTGCAAATAGGGAGGTTATTCTGCATATTCATTTGGGGTTTCTAAACTGCTGGGTGTGCAGTTCAGCAGCCTCTAATTACCTGGGAATAAGCAAGGGTGATACCTGTCAGAAAAGCCTAGGCATGCCTGATTTTTATCATAGTTTCTTCAAAGTTGTCCTATATATCTGGTTGCAAACTGCAGAACTGCAATTAATGGCTGTGATTTTATGTGTTTCAGAAATTCCATTATAAAAACCTCCTCCTTGGTGAACATGATGTTCCACTCACATGCATTGAGCAGATTGTCACAGGTATGTCAAAAATAGTTAAGTATAATGACAGGCTTTGTTTTACTCAGTATAAAACTGTTACCTGCCTGTTAAGTTCTGCAGAATTGTTGACATTTGAGGTTTTATGACATTAATCTTCCCTGATTTAAGTATTTGGTTTGTTTAAAATTGGGATAAAAGCCTCAAATGCTGAATAAATCTTGAGGTGCCTTGCAGGAGACTTAGTTGGGTCTTTATATTATAGACTTTATAACTACCATACTGAATCAACAGGTGTTGTAGGAAAGACGTGTTGCAGCAGTACAAAATGTTGTTAGCATCATTTTTACATTGAATCATCTGAATCTCTGCCACTGAAATACACTAGATTGCAAAAAAGCACATAGCTTATACAGTTAGACAAGAGAAATGCTGTAGTTTTCAATCCTCTCTAATTCTTAGCAAGTTAATAGCTGGTGATCTCCAAAAATCTGCAAATGGCAATGGACATCTTAATTTGAAGAAACAAAACACTTGTTGTGAAGAACCAGCTTTTGATTTGTTGGATTCTTTAGACTAACCTATTTGTTAAGAATGTTTTTCATCTTGTAATTGTAAAATTTCATAAAAGTGCTAATTTTTCAAATTTTGTTTATGGCATGGGCTGTTAAATACTTGCTTTTCTGACTTTAAGCAATCTAAATTATTGGTTTTAAGTTTTCAATGCCCAAAGTTGGTTGTGATCACTATGAAAAGATTAATGTGTTTCTGAGGAAGAGCATGATGAAGAAATGCTATTTTTTTACAACAAAGAGGTGCTATTGACCTGTTACATTGTCTTGCACTGGCTCACATTTGTTGCCCCTTTTATAAAACATGAGATTTACCCTAAGTTTAGTGGTAGCAACATTACTATGCCTGAGTTAGTCTTGTGTTTCCTTACAGAACACAGTCAAATAATTTTGTCTCTTCTTTGCAGTGAATGACACCAAGAGAAAACAGAAGGTCCTTGGTCCCAACCAAAAACTTAAATTTAATCCAACTGAATTAATAATTTATTGCAAAGACTTCCGTATTGTCAGATTTCGTTTTGATGAAGCAGGTCCTGAAAGTGCAAAAAAGGTATTGTTATCTTATTTTGAATTCCTGCTTTGTAGTCATTACATGTAGCAACAGCTGTGCTGATAAGAACAGTTCATATTATTATGTTTTGATAGAGAAATGGGGGAAGAATTGCAAACTATTCGCATTCTGTTACAGGAGAATGTTTAGACATTTAGAGTCAAATCTATCAGGGAAAAACATTAATGTGATGTACTAACTGTTTAATACCATATAAGATAAACCAGTATTTCTTGCCATATCTGTTGTACTTTTAGAAGTTGTTCATTTATTAAATAAATCTTTTTAAGGGCTGGAATCAGAATGTTGCATTGCAGCTGTACAACAGATGTTTGCATTTTTATGGAAAATGTTTCAAGCTCTGATACATTTTCTGAAAGTCATAAGCTTAATTTGCCCAGAGGCTGAGTGTACTGTCTTAAACACAGTAAGTTCTCCAGCAAGCTCTTGGAATCACCGTTTTGTCCAATTTACATGAACGTGGGCTCTGTCTCAACGTTTTATTAGCCCAGACTTGTGCACCTTTGGCAGGAGGAATTAGCGGTGTGTGAATTCGCAGAGCTTTCCTCCCTAGCCCGCCTGTGGCCCGCCTTGCCGCAGGTCCCTGCGCGGTGGGGCTGTGCAGTTCGGGCTGCCCGAGCATTGCCGAGCCGTGCCGTGCCCGAGCATTGCCGAGCCGTGCCGAGCCGTGCCCGAGCATTGCCGAGCCGTGCCCGAGCATTGCCGAGCCGTGCCCGAGCATTGCCGAGCCGTGCCGAGCCGTGCCGGCCGTCGGGAGCACATTCCCGGCGCTGTCCCCGCACCGGAGTGCCACAGCCCGCGTTCCGTAAGGAGTGACCCACTTTGCTCTCAGAGCTTAACAATTCCCCTTCTCAGTAGGATCAGGTTTGAGTTTAGCCCTGTAAGTCCCAAGGACCATCTGCCCAGGTATAAGTGTGTGTGCAGTTACTGACCGGGAACTGCGGAACCGGCTCTGCCCCTTTACCCTCGCAGAGAAGGGCGGGCAGGAGCCCGTCATGAGCCACCCACCCTGCTCTGCCTGACCCCCTGCCTGCTGCCCATGCTGGCTGGAACCTTCCACGTCTGGCAGTCTTTGAGCCGTCATTCCCTTGCACCGCTTCTCCAAAATCTCCCTGGAGCTGCTGTCTCCTGCAATATCTTTACAGCAACTGTTTGTAATTGGCTGTCACAGCAAAAGAGTGATTAGCCTGAAGGAGGAGAGAATAAACTCAGCATCTCCTTTGTGCTGAATTTTCTTATGCAAGAGCAAACAGTGAAACTCTTTTATGAAGGCCTTTACGTTAGGTATTTATAATTACATGGTCTTAGGTGGTTTCTTCTGATTGGAAGAACAGCTAGGTCTAGAGAACCAGAGCCTGTGTGGTTTTTGAGCTTGTGCTGGTGGTGACCAAAATTCTAACAACTGCCATTTTCAAATACCAGTATGTGCTCGTTTGTGGTGAGGAAGAAAACTTGCTCAGGTATGAGCTGTGTGGTTACTGATGCAGGTAGGTTACTGCAGCTTTGTGTGGGTGTAGCACAGATGCACTTTTACTGGAGATCAACTTCAGCTAGTCTAATCTAATGTTTCCATAATAACATTATTCTGTTAGCATTAAAATATAAATGTACAGAACCATGAGATCCTTACATCAGTTTTCCCATATCAGGATTTTGCTTTAATTATTTTGGGATGCTGGTGAACACATCTCGAGTGGTCATACACAGTATATTGAATGGAGTTGTTTTGTTCTTTCTGACATTTAGATGGCATGCTGGCACCACAGTAGGGAAAGGTTTTATCTGGTTTCTGTTTCTGCCCTTCAGGTAGTACATGTTAGCAAAGTTGTCCTGATGTTTAAAAACAGAAGATAGTGATCAGGCCTCCTTAAAATTCTGAAAGGCCTCTTTAATCTATATTTACATCCAGCTGTTTGTACAAGAAAAATTTGGTAGCTATCTACTTGGAAATAACTGTGTGTGTATAACTTTTGTAGGGAAGACCAAGACTTAAAGTGTAACTGAGTTCTGATGTGAGGGGAAGCCTGCTCTTGGGCTGAGGGTGCATTGCCGTGTGGCTGGGGGAATGCCATAGGACAGGACTGACCATGGGAGTGGGGTTCTGGATGGAGGGGCCTGTGGACATCATCACCTGCTCCACCTTTCTCTTCAGACTTGCCAAGATTAGATCAGGCTGTAATTAAATGTCATCTTAGTAATACACAGGAGTAGCACTGTATAAATAAAGCCGTGGTAGGTCAAAACAAAACATCTACCTAAAAATATGCATTTCAAAATACAGGAGTATAAATGTCTCTACTTGTTGTCAGAGGATCACAAATGTTCTGTTTAGAGCAAGTTATATAAAAACAATACCCATGGCAATTCATATTTCAAAATTAGCTTTGAATATATGGAATAGTTAGAAGGACAACAGATGCTAACTTTATGCAGTTAAGTAATTTGTTTCAAGCATAGTTCCTTACACTGGAAATACTCAGCAGCATCCAGTGACATAAATTGGTGTTGGCAAAGAGAGTGTAATCTGTTCTAGTGTCTCTATTTGCTGAACAGGGCATAAGGGAGAATAACTAATTAAGCTGCCTTACTCAAATAGAGATTATTCCAAGTCTCTCTTTGAGGATCTTGGAAAGATCCTCTTTCTAAGGATCTCTTTGGATGCTGTGAAAAGGAGGATCCAAGTTTAAAAGCAGGCTTCTGATGTGGACAATCTAAAAGACTTGACTGCACATAGACACATGGGTAATGTTTGCAGAACTTTCAGAGGTGTGGGGGTTTTTTTGCCTTTAATCAGAAACATTGTGAGAACACATTCATTTATTTTCAGGTAAATTATTATGGAGAAGCTTAAAAATCAGTTCTGTTAGAAAAATACCCTCAGTACTTGTTGCAGCCAATACATGCTAATAAAATACTGTCTCAGCATTAGTCAGACAGGTAAATATTTTCTTCCTTATTTTTATTAGTGGATGTTTGGGAAACAAGCGTTAAGGGAAAATAGAAGGAATGGAAATTTGCACTCACCACTGTTTAGCAGTTTCATTTTGTTTTGTCTCTAAAATAAAGCGATAGAGTCTCCAAAGGAAGGAAAGCCAGATGGGTGTGGGAGGAAGTGGAGGATGGGGAAGCAAGGATAAGCAAGTTGGGGAAGTCTTAAGTCAGGCGGTGCAAAAAAAGAAGCATTTCACATTCCTTAGAGGAAAGGAATTATTTTGTTCCAAAAATGACAGCAAACAGTCAAACTGAAAACGCCTGCTATTTTTTAGGCACTGCAGTATTTGACATTAGACTGAGAAAATAAAGTGTATGAAAAGGTGAGGCTGTAGATCTTCTGACTGTTCAGTGATGGCCAGGGTGTTGCCTCACCGTGCACATGGATCTTGGCAGTGCCCCAGAATGGCACACACCCTGTGCCTCCAGGAGTATATCTCCATTTTCTCATCTCTTTCTCTTCTGCAGCTCCCTCAGTTCTTTTCCTTCAGGAAGCTTTTTTGAATGAGAGCTGTTTCAGAATCACATGCTCAATCAAAGCAGCAAGAATTTTTTTTTATCTCAAATCTTGTTTCCTGTGCAATCAAAAGTAGCCTTTCCTACGTCACAACACTTGGGATGAAGGGGAACACTTTTTTTCCCTAATTGTTATGAACAATAATATGAAACTCTTGAGAGTTTTGGACAAACAGTCCTGACCCTTTCTAATGTGTTCCTCCTGCCTTCCTAGCTGTATTACCTTGTTCTAATTGTTTATACAGATCACAAAATTGGTACGGTTTCAAGGCACTGGGAATGTATAAGATACTGTGCTTGGAGGGGATGAAGCAAAGTTTTGTTTTGAAGTAAACTTACAGAATCAGAATGTTTTGAGTTGGAAGGGCCCTTTAAAGCTCATCTCATTCCAGCCCCCTGCCATAGGCAGGGACACCTTCCATTACACCAGGTTTGTTCAAAGCCCTGTCCTGGTCTTGAACACTTCAGGGATGGCACAGCCACAACTTCCCTGGGAAAAGATAAAAGGTATTTTTAAAAGTACTGATGAATTTTAATAATTCTCTTAATGCTGAATGCTTATTTTCCCAATGGGTTTTCCAGCCTAGGAATATGAACAAAACCTGTTTGTGGGACTTGATGTAGTCCTGTTTGTGTGACTGTCTACCACAAGTGCCTGCTTGGGAAAGGAATTGCAGTAGCAATGGAAAGCAGTATTTTTCCAGAGAGTTCATAAGCCAGGTCGCCTGACTTAAGGAGGGAGGGAAAATGCTGGGCTATGCTAACTTAGCACATCTGAAATGCTGCTGTTCACAACTCTTCTGCAAGAGCCATACTTCGAAGCTCTTGCCCTTGGTAAAATTCTTGTTGAAGAAGAGATTGTGCCCTGAAAGTACCATTTATTTTCCTCAAATAGGAGTTGAACAGGGGACACTGACATAGGGAAATGGCTTTTGTACTATGAAATAACTACAGCCATTGTGTTTACTGCTTTTAATAAATGAACTTTCCAACAAGCAGCCTATTATCTTGTTATTTGTCTGAGCCTAAATATCTTCAGCTTTACACAATTGTAAATTGGCAAGAATACCAAACATTTTTGAGTTTGATATGAGAACGCTTCCTGTAAAACATGTTTGCCTTCCAATTTAGAGTGTTCTACTTATGGCCATAATCTGCTGAGATCTGTGGAATGTGCTTGTCTTCTGAATCTCTGAGACAATAAAGCTATTATAGGGATTTAGTGAGGAACAAACAGAAAATTAGTATGTCTTTAGTACTTGTTTAGTTTATCTATGAGTGGAATTTTTCTAAAATGGAGAAATAGAGACAGTAGCAGGATAAATCTATTACTTTTTAAAATAAGAGAAATAGAGGTCCTGAACCTATGGGTGAACTGTTTCACCCATGCAATACATGGTGTGAGTTAGATCTATTCCATGGAACACCCAGAGCATTTTCCAGCTCCTGCTTTATTTAAAAGCACAACTATGGTCTATATTTTTGTGGAGAACTAGATCTGGATGGTTACTATCTCCCCCCCACCATTTATCCCTCTTCACACAGTGCACACATACTCCCTTTTTCAAATATGGCAAGCAAATGACAGATTTCAGCTACTGCCTATTTAAAAATAGGTTTTACTGTATTTCTGTTGTGTTATTTGGCAGCACAATGGAATTTTTTTCCTGCAGTTTGTCCTGAAGCCTTGAGACTAGATTAGCATAATAAAAGGCTTTCAACTTTCACTCCATAAATGAAGATGAGGAGTAGCTCTTCTAGAATCAGTTACTGTAGTGAAAAGCTACATAGAAAAATGGAAGTCAAAATATGTATATGCATGTATTTCCATTTTGTTTTATTGTGAATGATAGCCAAAAGTAAGTTAGAAGTGGTCAAATATTATTGAATAGCTGGCTTCTTCTGCTTTGGTTCATACACTGAAATCAAAAGATTCAGTAAAATATGCGTGGCTTCCAGTTGTATATTAAAAATGTTATCAAATCCTAGAAATGAGCTTGTAAATGTGCATCAGGAAAGTCCTGCTATACTGTTCTCCAGGGACACTTGTACTGTTAAGGGTTTTTTTGGGGGGGTTGTCACCCTGGAATGTTCTGTCTTATATTTTCCTTTGCAGTTTCATTGTAGAACTGAAAGTGTGGGGAGAACAGTTAAAGAAATCGTTGTTCTAAGACTCGACTGGAATTTTTTTTGTTGAGTGTTTGTGAAATAACATTTTCAGCTCAAGTTAGTCTACTGTCATTACTGGTTTTATAAATAATGAGGACTATCCCCATCAAAAGCCAAAGTGTATAAAAATACAGTAAAGGTTCCATGAACACCATGTATAAAAATACAGCAACTTTCTCCATGCAGATCTGGGCATAACTGAGCTCTCAAGCTTTGTTCCCATTGCCCAGTGCTGCCAGCACTGATATTCCTTCAGTTCTGTGGTGAGCAGCTTTCTGTTATATCTATCACAATAATGACACTTTCCTTCACTAACAGAAAACAGTTTCTTGGATGCACAAGATTTTTTCAAAAATAATATTCAAAACTGCTAAACTCTGAATAAATTTTGTAAATGTGTTTCTAAATATGGAAAGTCAGGAAAAGTTGAAGGGAAGAAAGAAAACAGAAAGAAAAAAAACTTGGGTAATAAGAATGTGGGCTTACACTATGTCTTTGTCCCTGGTTAAAAGGTACAATTTAGTAAAATGCAGAAGCAAATACTGAGGGAGCAGGACAAAGTTAAAGCCTCCACTCATGTCCTGAAATTTGAAGAATAACAGCACCAATCTCTGTGATTTTTTGTTTTCTTCCTGAATTTGATTCTTCTAGACATTAGGGTTTTTTGTCAAATCTTTTGTATATCTGCATTCAAAGAGACAGAGACTAGAAATGCTTAATGAAATTTTAAGTCTAGGAACTAATCCTAGATCATGTGCTGCACTCTTAATAATCTTAGGGAAAGAACCAATAAGGTTTTTTTAAAAGGAAGTCACACATGAAAAACCTCATGGCCCAACTGACAACTTTGTAGCCGAAATATTTGTCATATGCTGTTAAATACTGCTACCACATTTTAGTTCAGGACATGCCTGAACTGTTAATTGTTCAAAATTGTCCTGGAAAAATTGCATTATGTTATTCTTGTGTTTTTCCCCTCTTCTCTAAGCACTAATTACTGGCTGCTGTCAGAACTGTGCTGGGTTGGACCTTTTGAACTGACCCTGCCTGCTCTTAGGTTCTTCTGCTGGATTGATGAGTATTCTTTTCCTTAAAGAAAACATCAAAAGACTGATTTTTAGCTTTTTCACAACTCTGCATATTTGACACTGTTACAATTAAGGGCAATAATTTTTTTGTCTATATAGATATATAAATAACAGTAATAAATGTCTCTTTCCTAGGTGTGCCTTGCAATAGCTCATTATTCTCAGCCAACGGATCTTCAGCTTCTCTTTGCATTTGAGTACGTTGGGGAAATATATCATAATCCAGGTAAGGATGAAAGTACTTGGATTGTGCTTTTTTTCCTGTTTTGTAATATGTATTTTTAGTAAGATTTCTGTCCAGAAGCAGTGGCAAAAAACATTTGAGGCTTTCTTCAAGGGTAACAAAATCGGCTTGTTCTGCACCCAACCTCTTACTTATGGTTATAAGTCATTCATTGGGATAGACATTAATGACAAAAATCCAAAGAAATGTCTTCCCTGTCTAAAACAAAGCCAAACTGTGCCAGCATGAATACTTCTATTTCTCAGTTCAGGCTTCCATCCTCCTGTTGTATGTCTCTGTTGGTACTCTGGGTACCCAGTGAATGTCCCATCAGGCAGGCTTGCTCACCTGCCCTTCTTTTGGGAATAAGTTTCTCTTCTGGTGGTATTGCAGGAGGATTTGTGCAACTTGGGACTCCATACCTTCTTTCCTAGAGGCTTACTAGGCAGTTCTTACCACTCAAAACCTCCACCACCCCTGCTGAGTTGGAGCACACCCTCTCTGCTCAAGGCCAATCTCCAACTGAACCTTGTCAGTTAGGTAAGCCTGCAAAGATGCCTTTGGAACTTGATTTCTAGCGTAATGCTGAGCGGTCACTGCCGAGTGTTCCCCAGCCAAGACACAGCTGAGAGCCATCAGTTGTAGGGTCACAAGCCTCCCCACAGAGTGCTGCTGCTGCAGAGCTGTGGTACTGAGAGCTGAACTCAGCAGCTGGCACTAGAAACCACTGAGCTACCTGTTACAGAACATGAACCTTGTGGAATTATGAGATCCGGCCTTCAAATTTGCCAAACAGTGCTTGGTTTTCATCCAGGTGCCTCTGTGACTGCCCTCTGCATGCACAAGAATAAGTGTGCATGTGATTATGTTGCACACATAATTACACATGAAATTTCTTACCTCATAAAGCTTGGGCAATTATTAAGGTCCATGTATTTTCGTGTTATAAAGTACTAGGGAGGAAGGCAATTTGCAGATAAAATTGCAATAAAATGTTAGGCTGTCACAAAGTTGCCTTTACCCTTAAAATAACACTTGCTATATGGAAAAATACCTAGTGGAAGAATTACATAAGGTGGGTAAAAATGTTTCTCTGGAGCAGCAGACCAGAATGGCAAAGGAGAGTTGTTCTGCAATACTGCAGTTCCTAAGAGAATTTGAAATTCGGTTGGGTTGGGTTGGGTTGGGTTGGGTTGGGGTGTTCTTCTTGTTGTGAACCCTGGTGTTTGTCCCATAGATCTCTGGCTTTGCTCTTGCAATTCCAGTGCTGTTTAATGATTCTCTATCCCTGCTACTCCTAGTAAAGTAAAACCTGAAATGCTGTCTTTGTACTTCTTGGGGAACATAAAAAGCCTGCATTGCTCTGGTGTATGTGTACATTGTTCATTTCCCGACTATATTTGATAGTTATATATCCCACCATTAAACAGGAAAATCGACTCATTTTGTAATTATTGTATTTCTCTTTTTACCATCTTTGAAGAACTACTTAAGTCTAATTTTAGTCCTGTTTTCTTCTGAAAATCTTAAGTACTCAGAGTGCCAGTGCAAGAATGAAGTTGATAGATACAGAAAGCAGAAACCAGAGAGGTTATGGGATATCAGCAGAGTTGTGATGCTGTTCTCCTTCCTCTGGGCAGGTTCTTGCTAAGGCTCAGAGCTTTCATATGGGAGGTAACAGGCTGAAATTCAGTTTATTCCACTTCCATCTAAAAATGTACTTCAAGTGTCAAGAAACAAAATGTAATTTCTTCTCGACACAGCTGACAGTCCCCTTGGTATCTAAAGAATGACCAGCAAAGGAGATCCTTCTGTATAGTAATAGGCTCTCTAAGCTCCTGGTCCCTAAACACATCTTTTTGTATGGATATAAATCTATATAGAAATCCCAATATTTTAACATGGCCTTCCATTTATTTTATTTGCTGTTAATACAGCAGTCATTTAAAGTTGCTGAAATTATGGAAGTTTTATTTTGCTTTCTCGACATGGTAGCTATTAATGGGTAGCCTATAAAATGTTCATGTTTTTAGAATTTTTTTTGCAAACTTTGGCATATTGAAGAAAGAAAGCCTGTGACTGGAGATAACATTTGTTCCTGAGTATTAGTATGCCTTGACTTCTATCAAGCAGCACAGCAGGCCAATTTTATGTTGCTTTTCTAATGAAATTGCAGGGAAAAAATACAGTGACATCTTCATTTATCATCATCTGCCATTAAATCACTGCTTTCTTGTAATACAACAGTAGGTAATAGAGATAATACTAGTCCTGATGCTAATGGCTTATTTTTGTAATTAGGAAGGTGAAGAGTTTGATTTTTATTTATTTTTTTAATGGGCATTGATGACTTTCCTTTTCCTAGCAAAGAAGGTGAATGGCATAGACCCAGGAGGTGGTGGCATCGGCAATGCCAGTGGTCAGCAGACTCCTTTGTTTGAAACTTACTCAGATTGGGATAGAGAAATCAAAAGGACAGGTGCATCTGAGTGGAGAGTGTGCTCAGTCAATGAAGGTTATATGATCTCCACTTGGTAAGTGTCTCTTGGGACACCAGCAGGAGGGAGTTGGGCTGTCTTGTCCTGTGTGCCCTGTAGCCTCTGTTGCACTCAGCTGTGCACTGCACCTCTTCATTGTGCTGCTCTCTGGAGAGGCCCCCAGATGAAAGATGCTGCAAGTCTTGTCCCTAAAGGAAATGTCGTGGTTTGGCATCTGTTGCTCTGGTGCTTCTGTACTTCTGTGTGGGACATGCAGTTTCTCACCTCGGGGCTGTGTTGGTGCTGTGGCTGAGCCACGCCCAGGGGCTGCTCTGGGACAGCCTCACTGAGCTGGTGACCCCGCACTGCAGCAAGAGGGAAGATGGTAAAAAACACAGAGAAAAGTAATCATTTTTTATTATGTTTTTTCCACAAGCCTTCCAGAATATTTTGTGGTTCCATCTTCCTTAGCAGATCAAGACCTGAAGCTGTACTCCTACTCCTTCATTGGGAGGCGAATGCCTGTAAGTGTCCTCTTTGTTCTGCTACTGCTCCTGGTCACTGCACACTATTCAGCCTGGGGCTGTGTGTGCCAATTAACAGAGCTCTGTGCATAGCATGAAGGAAAAAAATTGTACAGAATAGCTCTAACCTGCATGATTTTGTTGTTTCTTGTGTTTTTTCCCCATGTTAGTTATGGTCCTGGAATCACCCTAACGGGAGTGCCCTTGTGAGAATGGCCAACATTAAAGATGTATTGCAGCAGCGAAGAATTGATCAAAGGTAAATGATTCATTGTGTCACTCTTCAGTCAGAGGGTTAGGATAACACCAGTTATCCTAACACACAGAGGTGACTGTGTGACACAGCTGTGGGTGGCACTGGAGGTGACCCTGTGTGACACTGCAGTGTTGTAGTGTGGGAACTTTGGAGACACTGTTCCCTGGATCTTGTTCTGGCACAATTTTTATTCAAGGCCATTCCAGTTTCAAATACTGAATAACTTTCCAGGTTTTAAGGTATGTTTATTTTTGGGGGGCTAATCATTTAGATGACAGAATTTCTTGATAAAAGGATCAGATTTATTGTAATACATCTTACATTGGTGGAGATTTTCTTACCTCCTTCAGCAAGACAGTAAAAAAACCCACTTTATTTGTAGCATTGGGAAATACAATTCAATAGATTTAGTGTCACAATGCACATGGTATTTCTGTGAAATATCTGTCATGCACTGTCCTTAATGAAAGACTGAAGCCATTTAGTGCCTTGTGTAGGTAGTTTGCAAGCTTAATGGTTTTTATTCTTTGGTTTAATTTGTAGTGTGACTTTTTGTAGTACTGCAAACACGTGCATTGTGTGTTAGGCTGGAGCTCTGAGTTTTAACTGAAACCCTGTCAGATTTCTTGACTTCATAAACTTTATATATGTTCTCTTCATTTAGCATAGGTAAGTCTTTCTAAAAATGATGGAAAACTAAAAACTGAATAGAGTTATTTAACTGTCAGTCAGCCTCAGGCTTCATTTCTCAATATGATGTTTTAATGATCCAGCATTTCCAGTTTTTTGTTTTATAATTAGCAGACACCAAAAATATTTGAAAGTCAGTAGCTTTATGGCAGGAGCAATATATCTCCTGAATACGAACCAGTAACATTGTTTTTTAGAATGAGGTGCATGTTTTATGTGGGTTTAATTGTTTGCAGTTAGATAGTGGCATATTTATTGAAAGACTGCTTCTTTCCTCTCCAACAATAAACCTGCTGATTCTTCTCCTGCAGGATTTGCAATGCAATAACTCGAAGCCATCCCCTGAGAAGTGATGTCTACAAATCTGACCTGGACAAGTGTCTGCCCAACATCCAGGAAATCCAGGCTGCACACATCAAACTCAAACAGCTCTGTGTCAATGGTACGCTGGGCTTTCCTTCTTTTATGGGGGTTGCTTTCCTGACATGCAGAGAATTCCAGCCAACCTGGCTGGCAGGGACTGTTACTGGAAGTTGTTCTGCAATGTAATTACTGTCCCTGTTGCAGAGCCTTTTGATGAAACCGAAGAGAAGTGGCTGTCCTCACTGGAAAACACTCGCTGGTTAGAGTACGTTAGGTTGGTACCATTAATAAAATGATGTTCAGTGGAATATGCAAAGCTTTCAGCACTGTAAATGAGCAGTGCATCAGTTGAAGGATTCTTTAATAAATAAATTAGGTAAATATAGATAACCCAAATATTTATTTTTGTAGAGTGTGAATTTCTGTTAACTGTTAAATCACTTTCTTTTCCTGTCTAGAGCCTTTCTTAAGCATTCTGCTGAGCTTGTCTATATGATGGAGTGTAAGCACGTTTCTGTGGTTCTACAAGGTAATACAACACAGAGCATGCTGTAATTATTTGCATTACTGTGATAATGTAGATAAACAGATTTAGATAAAATCAACAGTAATCTTTATACATAAACCCCATGGCTTCTGAATATCTCAGGCATTCGGGGAACTAGAAGGGAAAATCATTTTGTTATGTATCTGAACTGTAGTATAATCCTTAGCATCAAAGGAACATTTTGCTTTGAGTCTTTGTGGGTTTTGTTCTGATAATGATGATAGAATCAAAACCACTGAGTGAACCTTTGTACTGTGTTAATTGGGCTAATAGCCCCTGCATAAGCAATATCAGTTTAATTCAGAGGTTCTGTATGCAGAAGTATTCACTTAGGTGCCCACTCCTTGTGTCTGTGCAAACAGATATTTCAGAGGAAAAGACACTGAAAACTTGCACATTTCTGTAATTCTCTAATTTCTGTAGTTTTTATGAGACCTGTTTACCTGGTATATCCCACTGTCCTCATGTAATGGGCCTTCCAAAAATTGCTTCAGGGTGGAAAAATGTTGAAAATATCTAGCAGCACAAGCACCCTCCTCCTCAGCATATCTTGGTTTAAGTACTAGGCAGTTGGGTGGGTATTTTGTTCTTGATGAATGCACTGCTGTGCTGGATACTGCAGGAACCCTTTCTATAATATGAGTCTCAGTTTAAGAAAAAAGAAGTATGATTTTCTTCTAGTTTATAGTTTTATTTTTTTTTAATTATGAGAACAATTAAAACAACTAAAAGTATATTTTAAAGGAAATTCTAAGCAAAACATGGGACCTAGCTGCCACTTTTTGCTCTTTGAAATCTCATTCTGTACATGAATATTTACCCTGTATATTCTGTATATGATTTGCAGAGGAAGAGGGACGGGACCTGAGTTGTCTTGCTGCTTCTCTCATTCAAGTCATGCTGGATCCTTATTTTCGAACAATTGTTGGATTTCAAAGCTTAATACAGAAGGAATGGGTCATGGCAGGATATCAGTTTTTAGATAGGTGTAACCACTTAAAGAGATCTGACAAAGAGGTAAGAATGAATTCTATTTGCATGTGATCACAGTATCTGCTTGATATCACCCTGAACATTTTTTCATACAGAAATCTAAAAGTAAAAATATGTTTTAATACTTTCAAATCTCATTACAATAGTATCAGAGGAAGTAAGTTTTTTTCCAGGGTAGAGATAGCTTTTCTTTGCCCTCTATAGCCATGTGAGAATCAGTGAAATACCAGGTGCAATCCAATGGGTTTTTATGTTGCTTCAGGGTTACACATGAAAGCATCTCACTGCTACAAACACTAGCACAGCTCACATTTCAAATTGAAACCAAAGGAGGTGAGGAGTGGGGCTGGAGGGGGTAGTTTTGCTGTGTGTTTTACCAATCCCTGTTTCCATCCTGTGGTGTTGTCACTCTGCAGTGCTTTCAGAGCAGGGAGCTGCTGGAGAAGCCCTGCAGCTGCATGAGCTGACACGGCTGCCAGGAGATGGAAGGAGAGGAGCACAGGGCTCAGCTTCTTTGGCCTCTTCATGGCAAAAGAGGGGCTGCTAACTGCAGGAAGCATAGAGGACTCAGGTTAGGAACCCTTTTCAAGGACATCTCCAGAGCGTGGAAGCCACAGATAAACCGAGGGCAGTGAGCACCAAGTAGAGAAAATGCATGAAGGGATAAAGAAATGAGATGCCAAGAAGGAAATAATGAAAAACAGCTATTTTGGCCCTAGGAAAGGATATACTGAAGCGTGAAAATGAGAAGGGGAAAATATTTCTAAAGCTTTAATAAATAATGATTTATACTTTTGCCATTCATTGGTTGCTATAGAAAAGAGCTAGAAAATGTGGTGAGAAATTAACATGGCTGAATCATAAACTCTCCAGTTATTTCAAACAAGGAAGTAAATACATTGTAAAAACAAGCCCAAGTGGCAAGGAAGGCCCATACAAGCACTGATTTGGAAATTATGAGGGACATATAGATGGCAGAAACGATTTTTGCACCTGCATGAGTATGAGGGGATCCCAGGAAAGAACTGTGTTTTTACACACAAGGGAAACCTGTGCAAAGGTAGTGCTGAGAAAGAAGTGGCTAAACAGGAATCAGAATTGCACAGAATTGTGAAAAATGCAAGACTCCAAATAGTTTACCCTGTGGTTGAGTAATCTACCAATGGTACAGTCAAATACCATAACTGCAGTGAAATTGGTATGATTTAGTAAAAGCTTATGTTAAATCTGATAATGCCTTGTTTCTTTTCCCAGTCTCCTTTGTTCTTGATGTTCCTTGACTGTGTCTGGCAGCTGCTGGAACAATACCCAGCAGCCTTCGAGTTCTCTGAAGTGTACCTGACCATCCTGTACGACAGCGCCCGCATCTCCTTGTTCGGCACCTTCCTCTTCAACTGCCCTCACCAGCGAGTCAAGGAAAGCACTGTGAGTACGAGGGGCTGCACCTGCTTGTCCAGCAGGAGACTGCAGCCCAGCTAAATGCTTCCTGTGTGTCCTTCACATTGTCATACTCTGTCTGGGGCAAAACACTAGATCCCCAGGTGAATACAGTCATAATGACTTTCAGGTGATCTGTGCAGAGACAGTGACTAACCATTCAAGAAGAAAGTCTATTTAATTTCTATGTTGTTTGTTGCTACTCTACATTGTTATTTATACTCCTCAAGGAAGCAAATCTGTATCTGGAACTCAGAACGTAGAATGACAGGCAATAAATAGAATTTCACGCTTCAGGCAAACTTTGAAATCTCTTGACATAATTGTTTAAATAGTTGGAAAAGTTGGAGATGCTGCATAAAGTTCCAATAGTAATGCACAAAGGAAATATTTAGAAAACTGGAGTTTATCAGAACTGTGTGTAGAAAACATTTGTTGGCTGATAAAAGTGAAACTTATTTCTCCCTTTAAAGTTGTAGGTAGCAACCTTACAAAGTAGTAGAGTATTGAGGGACTATTGAATTCTCAAAATGCCAGTCTGGGGGTTAAGAGTAAGCCAACAAACAATTTAATATAATTGAAAAGTAACTGCACAAATGCAGAGGAGATGTTTTCTTCAGCTGTCTTGCTGCTCTGTTGTGCTACCCTGCTCTTCTTTGCCCAATAGTTACATGCTGGTTTTAAGATTCATGGAGAAGCCCATTTTCTTTGATTTTAACCTGCCCAAATGTTAACTTCTTGCAGGAATTTGCTATAAGCAAAAACATTCAGCTGGGTGATGAGAAAGGCCTCAGGTTCCCGTGTGTTTGGGACTGGTCTCTTCAGTTCTCGAGCCGGGACCGGCTGCTGTTCCACAACCCGCTGTACATCGGCAAGAGCGCGCCCAGCGTGCACAACGGGGCCCTCTGGACCTTCAAGCGCTCCAAGGTAACTGGGGGGCTCTGAAGGGCTGTGCTCACACTCAGGGGTCGTGCTGGGGAGGCTGCAGGTGCCCTTGGATTAGCAATAGGAGCCTTCGCTGTCTTGGCTTCCCAGCCTAAAGAAATTATTTTCTGTAGAAGTAAAGATGTAAATTGTTGAGCCTTGTGTTTTAGGACATATTCTGATGTGGCTGAGTCACTGCCAACATTTACACTATTTCCCGTTTGGAAAAGTGATGACAGGCCACCTTTTCCCCCTGGGTTGTCAGTATTTTCAATAAATACTGATTATAAGTTAATCATTTGTTGCTACAAAAAACATAAGTATTTCTTTTTAAAGGCCACAGTTTGCCCTGTGAGCCCTGCAGTAGTGACTCACAAGCTCAGAACTATTTAAAGGTCACAGCATTTCTCTGGATGATGCACCCTGGCAGTTCAGGGAAATTTGCTATTCCAATGAGCATAGAACTGGAAAACTACAAGTATTTATTTTCTGCAGAAAAACTACAGCTCCACATTGCGAGGTGTCCCCCCAGGACTAAAAAACGGAATCATCAGTGAGCAGGAGTTCCTTCCAAGAAGAAACTCTCTGATACTAAAACTGAAGCCAGACTTTTTCCAGCCAGCGGAGGGGCAGAGCCACAGTATGGAGCAGTACTTCAGAGACTGGTTTGCAAAGCCCGTTGATTTGCACGGCGTCATTCTGCCCCATCTCTCTGGAACACAAATCAAACTGTGGAAACTCTGCTACTTCCGCTGGGTTCCTGAGGCCCAGATCAACCACGGGGGCTCCATCACTGCTTTCCACAGAATTTCTTTGCTGGCAGATGAGGTGGACATGTTAAACCGCAGCCTGCGGCAGTACAAGAGCAACTCCTCCTTGCAAGGCCACTGCTCAGAACTGGATCAAAGCAGGATGTACTTCAGAGCAAATGGTTTAAATGACACCTCAGGTGCCCCAGACTTTCTCTCCTCCTCATTCCCATTTTCTCCTGTAGGGAACCTATGCAGAAGGAGCATTTTGGGAACACCTTTAAGCAAATTTTTAAGTGGTGCCAAAATCTGGCTATCCACCGAGACGCTTGCAAATGAAGACTGAGGTGATGTGGAGGTTTAGAGGTTTGGGGAGAACACAGCATATCGTTTTGTCTTTTCTAACTTAACACTGCTAAATGCGGCATTGAAAGCTGTAATAATTTTTATATACAAACATTATGTAAGATTTGCACAAATATTTAAAAGCAAGGCAAGTCATGCTTCAAATCGCACAATTTTGTCTTTAGTAGTTCTCATCTGCTGGGGCTTCTGCTCCCCAATTCCTCCTGGTTTTGGGGGTTTGGCTCATTGCAAGTTATAGAGCATTTCATTAGGAAATTTGAAAGGCTTGGTCTGGTTGTTAGTGAGGGTTCTGCTTGAAATATCTTTGTTTTCCCAGATAGTGACTGAAGTGACCCTTTGCTAAAACAGCTTGGAAAGCCAAAGTAGTGCAGTGAAGATGAACTGACAGCTGAAGTCTGGGAATACACTATTTTATCAGACTGTCTCATCAGGAGTAATACTTACTTGCATCGATACAAACATACTCATGTTCCATGATTGATCACCCTACATTGTGCTAATGCAGTGTATCCATGGAAGGGGTTGCTCCCTTTTCTTCTCTCCCCAAAATGCATTCATTAACAATTAGTCAGATTTGTGCTCTTTGTCATGAGCTTGACTTCAGACTATAGAAATCCACATCAGGACAATGCACTGTTAACCTTAAAACATTTACTGTAGATTTGGTATTTTGTAGTAGCTTTAGAAGTGCCTTTAATTGGGAGGAAACAGTAGCAGGATTACTCTAATGCAGCTGACACCCCCCAACTTTTTAAAACAGATTGTTGTGGCAAGTTCTTGTTCCATCCCCTGCTTCCCCCTCTCCATTTCAGGAAACAGCAGGTGTTCCCTCTTTAAGGTTAAGCTTGTTTGTAAGTCCCACAAGATCCTCACCTTTTTATAAGAGCACCTCAACTACTCAGCATTATATCCTTGCACAGATCCTGATCCCTGCCAACCCTCTCATTTTTTTGTAGGATGAAGTAGCTTTCAGCAGTAGCCATACCTGAGCCCTGCTGGATTCCAGAAAGGAGCACTGGCTCCTCATCCCCATTTCCATGAGGGGTGCAGTTGCTGCAGTCACTGGTAGGCAGGTGCTGCAAGAAGAGCAGTGAGTGGTGCCTTCTTTTTGCAGACTCCACATCCATAGGGACAGTGCAATGAACAAGCACTGCCTGAGGGAATTCCATCCAACAGCCTCCCTCTGCTTAATGGAGCAGCCTCCTCGTTGTTCTGAAACCTTTTTAAATGATGCATCTCCCTGGATGCTGTGCCACAAAAGGACTCACAGGGAGAAAGGCAGGAGTGTGAAGAATTCTGGGAGCTTGGAGAAATAGTGATGTGTCATTCTCATAAGGTTAAGGCTCCTGTCAGCTGCCTTCTCTGATCAGCGAGGCTGTATTTTGTATTAAATTATTTCTGTATAAACCCCAACGCTGTTTGTACAGTGAGCCTCCATCCAGGTGTTGCCTCACCAGTTAAGGCACCCAAGGCCTTATATAATGGACTCAGAGCTGTTCTCAATTTTCTCAGTGGGGAAAAAAGAACGGGAATACCCAGTGTATTTGAGTTTAGAAAAAGGGGAGGGGATAGGATTTGGAGATCTTTTGTTTGTTTGCAAACCAAAAGTGATCTTCAGCACAGCCTAAATCACAAAGTGGGGTTTGGCTCCCAGGCTGATCCCTGACTCCAAGGTGGTGCTGTGCTTGCACTGCTGGGGTTGGAGAGGGAAGCAAGGCAGGGCCAAATGTAAAGGTGAACAATGTCAGGGGAAGGGACTTCCTTTTTTACCTTACCAAACTTCCAAACCTTGTTCCTATGCAAAGAAGCAGGCACAGGCTGTTGTGACACAATGCCAGGTGCTTCTGGGCAACTGTTTGTGAGGAAAAAACGTGTATTCACCTCAATTGCCTAATTCTGTGTAAGATGAGCTGAGCATGTTAAATGGTCCACAAACCAGTTGTGTTTATTTCCAAGCTTGCTGGAGCAGTCTCTCACTTGTTCATTATTCAAACGTTTGTATTGGCTTGCTTTTGCCATTCCTCTTTTCCCATTAGCTTACTGCTTTCCCTGGCCTGATACTTGACATAAAGACCTCAACCTGTGTGCTTAGTGTCTTTGGTACCAATTTTTTTCTTTTAAAATGACAGTTAAAACTAAAGAGTGTCTCTTTTTTTTTTCTTTCCGTAAAAGTATAACTTCTTTGGTTTAAAGGTACCAAAAAATGTGTAAATAAATTACTCCACAAAAGCAGCCGGTGAAATTAAAAAATACTTAGGCTAGTAGCCTTTGAGGGAAAAAATGGGTACTATATTTAAACAGAATTGTCTTTTATAAGGAGATTTCAGACATTTTTACATTTCAGTTCTAAGATGTGTACAGATGCTGCACAGGATCTTTGTATTTTATATATATAGCATGGGAGAGGGTTACAAATAATATGCCTTCATAATAAACAAAACCTGTCGAAATCCCTATTTGCCAAATAGAATTAAAAAGAAATTTTATACCATTCCAAAAAGGGAGTTAGGTAAGTAGAGGCTGAGAGGGGGCACCTCCTGCAGAGAGGAAGGGATCCACCTTTCCCTAGACTTGAAGACAAGGTTCTGCTTCCTTGTGTCACATGGCCTTACTGAGGAGTCTGAGCAGCTGCTGCTTCCTCTGAGTTACACAGCTCAATACTTTGATTCACTTTTGAAAGACAGGTACCAAGTATTGATTTTGAAATACTCTCCACTCTGCACAGTTGCCTTATCAAGTTAGTAGGGACTGTTCTGAATATCTTTAATAACTTTCAAAAGCAATTTTGGGGTGTGAGTATGTATCTAACTTCTGTGTACAGAATACTGACAAGCAAGTTGTATATATATGTCTGTGTATATATATGTACACATATTTTCAAATTTTCATTTCTGTTCACCATTGAAAACAAGATACTGTTAAATGCCATTTTCATGTTGGAAGAGTAGAAAAGCTACCAAGCAGCTCATCTTTTTGTGTTTGTAGAAAATGTGCATTACTGCAGCTGTTCTGAGTCATGACTTTGTACCACACAGGGGGAGCTCTGCAGCTGCGGCTGCTGAGCCCCAGGGCAGCAGCTGGGCTGAGTGCAGGGCTGCGGCTGCGGTGGCACCTCAGCCTCTGTGTCACACACGTCCTGCCTCCAGAAATGCACTGAGGACCGTGTCTGTGTGTGTCTGCCCAGGCCTGCACGTGTACTTCATGTGCACTTGCCTGCAATACCACTCTGATCAATTAACTGCCTTGTGTTTTAATGAAAATGTAGCAAGCTGGGCAAACCTTTCAGCTTATTCTCAGATGGAAAGATATTAAAACCAAAAAAATTCTAACATATATTTAAGCAAAATGAAATCTTAAATTTGCCTCTAACCAAGAGACAGAAATCTGTACCTCAACTTGCTCTAGGCAGTAGGTTTCTAATGCTGTTGCTGTGATGGTTTAGAGTTCACCATTTCAACTGAAACTAAAACCTTTGTGCCTGATAATGATTTATTGAGTAAAGTAGCAGTGGCAGGAAGATGATTATAAAATCCTGATGCTGAGTTGTGAATGTGAAGTAAATTAGAGTCAATAAAAGTTCCTACCTTTCCACAGTGAAATTCAGGTGGTTTTCTTTCCCTTCCCCTAACAAAAAATAAATTTTGTGTGTGTGTGTGTTTTTTTTCCAAGAATAGCATGGACTCTGTGCTATAGAAAGATTATTAATAAAAATGATGTGCAAATTATCTTACTTCTTGCTATATTCTATTATAGTGTCTGCAGTTTGCATGGTGATCAGAATTTCTGATAGCAAGGAATTTTACTCAGTATGAGAATGAAGACTCCAGAGAAAAGATGTTGGCTGTGTGTTAAAATTAAGAGCAACCCACGAGATTTTGGTGTCTTAAAAGGGAATTCATCTTTTTAGTTCCAATTGACTGACATACCTCTGAATGAACAAAAACATCAGTTTTACTGGGGCAGAACTGACTATACTGAGTGTGGTCATTTTGGCACTGACAATTCTTGTCAACTACCAGAAATATTTCCCTTTATACAGGTAATCCAGATACAACAGAAAGGGCTGTTAAATAAATTAACCTTTCATACACAGGAGCACATTAGAACAGCGTTAATGCTTTATGCCCTACTCTCTGTCATCCTTGAACACCTGTATCTCTTTATGTACAAGTGCAAAATTCAAATATATAATGGTAAGTGAGGACAGGAAGAGAACCACACTGGACCTGACAATCCTGGCAAGGGGCTGAACTTACCTTGCAAGGAGACTTGCCCAACAATGAATTTAGGCCACAAGGGCACCATGAAAATGAGCAGGACCTGATGGCCCAACTTCTGTAGAGATGTTCTCAGGGCATACCAGTCTGAAGGCAGCTCTTACTTTTCAGTGGGCAAACCCCAGATTACCTCACAGAGTAAGTCAGGAATTGGGGAGAGAAGGGAAGGGCTCTGCTCTTCTAAACACAAAGTGATATGCAGTAAATCATACTGACCGTTTTTGCAAATTATATTTTAGAATGTTTTGTGCTAAAAAGGACTACGGTAATGTTCCAAGAAACCAGAATTTTTTAACAAATTATTTTTAATAAGCAACAGCAGCCACTGGTGTTTAAGAACACCCAAATTCCCCACATGATCCAACCTCTGTCAGCTGAGGCGTTTGCTCTTGCCTCCAACGTCCTGCACATGACAAACCTCCACTGCAGCCCCCAGCTTGTGCAGCTCACTCAGCCACAGCATCTGCTTAGGAGACAGGCGGTCGTGAGGGCCCTTCACCTCCACCAGCTGCAAGGAAAGGGGGATGGTTAGAAGTGTGTCCCTGAGGAAACTGGAAGATCATTAGCTCCCACACAATTTTTTTACAGCTGTTAGTTGCAACAAAAATAATAGAGATTTTAGCACAATGGAAGGTGCAGTGGGTGCTGAATTATTACCTCATTATTTCAGAATTTAACTGTAAGAGAATGAAATTTTGTATAGCAAATATCCACCAAAACACAGACAGAACCCCTAGTGAATTAAGATCTCTCATACTGAAAAATCGATTGTCTACCCCCTCACCTGTTACAGCTGATACTGACAGCACCTTATTCAGGTGTTCTAGAGAACTAACTTCTGCTATTCAGCTTTGTATCATAAACACATTACAAGTTGTTCCAACAGATGAAATGTCCAGCAGTCTTCAAGTAGCTATTCCACTGCCATGCAAGGCACCATCCATGACTGTTTACTCAGTTTCTATAGCAGACACAGACACAGTTGTTGTACACAAATAGTCCCGAGTTTGTCTAAGTGGTGCCAGTAGAACGCCCTCCTAACAACAGTCAATGTGTGGCTGATTGCTGACAGGTGCTTTACATTACGATTAATCAAAGATCTTTTCTACACCAACCTTAGCCAATGTTGATCGTTGCTGCTCCCAATGCCCATTAAAGCTCCAGCACAGCCGCTGGAGGAGCAGATAACCACCCACTGCTCCGTGGGGGCAGGGCAGAGCTGCAGATCTGACTCCACCGCCACAGGAAATTACAAGTTGGATGGGCTGACAAGTGCAAGGTTTTACACGAAGGAAGGCAGCTGAGCACTGAGTACTCCCGTGCTTCCCACCCACCTTGAAGTGCTGGCTGTGGGAGCGCCACACGAGCAGGTCGGGCAGCCCCCCCCGGCAGTGCCGCAGGTCCCTAGAAAGCCGCCGGAAAACACCGCTCAGGAACGTTCCTCCAAGGCAAGACACCAGGCTCTGCAAGACAACGTTTGCTGCTTGGCTGGGGCTGGTTTTAATTTCCTGCAGAACCATTTCCCAACCCTCTCAAGAATACTGGAGGGCCCAGCTCAACTCTTTGTTTAAACACAAGTAGGTGTTTTTTACGTAGATTTCCCTGCTGTGCTCCCAGCTACTGTTACATGAAAAGTGGCCATATAAGAAAATTGTAACACTACCTTTCAGATGCAGGGACTTCAGTGCAATAATCGCTAATCCCAGTTCCTCCCTCCCACCACTCTCCATCTGCCATGGCTCAGTGCCTCAATACAACCTGTGAGTACACAAGGGTCATGTGTAATTGAATGTCAAACCTAATTGGAGTGCCCATGCTGGGCAACAGTTACTTACCTGGACTTGCTGGAGGGAAACAAAACGTCCCCAGTTAACCAGGGCTGCTGCTTTTCCCTCCTGAGCGGTCCAGACATCAGCAACCAACTTTGCCAGTGTCTCTGAGGAAGCTGTGTGAAGCTGCTGGAGTCTGGCCTCGATGACAGCCCTCCTGTTCTCATAGAAGCTGTCAGTGTATAAATCCAGGGGGAATGTCTGGATGAAAAGGTAAATGCAGGTCTCAGGAACTGCCACTACAGCAGCTATTCCCAGAATGACAGTACTTCGTACTTCTGTTAACTACAAAGTCACTCAAACATTGAGCTGATTTATCTTGAATATACCCACCACATAAATATTTATTAAATGGGGGAAAATTTGCATATATTTTAACACCAAGGGCCAGTTCAGCAAACACTGGCCACATCTCGGCCTCTGCTCTGTTGTTTTGAACTCTAGACAGAGGTTTCCCTTAACAGACAGAGAATTCTGTGCATTCCCAGTGCTCTGAGCAGGAACGTTCCAGGCGGGATCTGGAATCGGGATCAAGACTGCTCAGGCACGGTGAGCAGTTTGAGGTGAAAGAACAAAGCCGTGATGAAGCCGGGGCGGATCCTCCAGCGCGCACAGAGAGTCCCGGGACAGCGCTGAACGCTCAGCGTGTAAAAAGCCCCTGCAGCAATTCAGCTTCGACGCTGCTGAACAGGCAGGGCCCGAGAGCCACCAGCTTTTCAAAAGCAGTGCTTAGGAAACAAACACAAACAGCTGCTACACATAATCCCACAAAACACAGCCGAGGAATGACAGAGAGAATCAGGTGTGAGCTGTCAGCTCCTCGTTGTTGATGCCCGAGGATCATGATAGCTTTGCTCTGAATTAATAAGGACAAGAAGAGCTATTTGTTTGAATTCCATTTCACAGTTTTGTATGGCCTTTGGAGTTACAACTGTCCCCTTCCTGTCCTACTTGTGAGTCTGGTGATTTTCAGCTCAGCCACATCTTCTGCTTCAGATGGTGAAGAAAAATAAACCCACAAGTTCACCTGGAATCATCCCAAAAATATGATGGGGTGGGTGGAGGTGTTAAAAAACCTGAGTTTAAAAATAAGGCTATTGAAAAGAAACAGACTTATTTTTTTACAATGGAATGTGTCATCTTCTAACGAGAGGATCTAGGCTGGGACACAGCAGTGCTTCTCCACTGGCTATCAAGGGCACCTTGCCCAGTGAGCTCAGCTACAGGACACAAGCATTTAACCAGGCCAATCTCACCCTCTCTAACTGTGAATCCAGTCCGACACAGCAACTGGTTACTGAAGAGGTCCTTGGCAGTAAACCAAATAGAACAAATAATAAAATGAACACCAAGATCTGTCTGGAAAGTCCCTCAGAATAAAACGTTAATCTAATCCCAAATAAGATTTTAACATGGTTATTGAGACTACAGCAATGAGCAAATAAATTAATTAAAGAAAGCCTTTCAAAATTACCTGATAGGAAGTTCTGAACACGTCAGGTATGTCATCCATGAAAACGATATCCCACATTAGAATCCCATACAGTGTAATAAACGTTGAGCCTTCCCCATGAATACCTAAATGGCAGAATTTCATAAAAATGGAAACATTAATTTCTACAGCAATGTCATATGAAGAGCTACTGAGCCATCATGACCCAAAGCAGAAATATGCCATGTGCAGGTTCATGGCCAGCTGGTGTCAGCACACATTCCCACTGCAGCTGCAAATGCACTTCATTCTGCCCCATTCCCCAGGCTTGCTGCTCCCATGCCAGGGGGCTTCAGCTGCAGCACAGTTTCCATCCCTGTCTGGCCCCTATTAAGCTTACTGGGCTAACTCTGATAATTTTTAAATACACAACCTTTTTAACATAAAAAAGATACAATATGGATGATAATAATAATAATATATTTGAAACATGACATATATTTATAGCATATAATTAGATTTTATATAAAATATTATTCTATAGATCTGTTCTATTTCATTGTAAATATTATGCCTTTTATATGTTATATACCATATAATATAGTGTATATGCATTATACCTGCATGATACCTCATACACATGAGAGAGAGCACGTGTGTGTTGGGGTGTGTGCATGGAGCTGGCACAGGCATTCTGGATCATCACTGAATCACACCTGGCCACTGTGTGCTAAAAACTGCACTGAGCCAAGAAGACCAATGATGAGTGGGTGGGAGTGAGGAACTGAGTGGGGATTTCAGCACAATTCTCCCAAATTCTAAATATTGTTCCCTTCCTATTTACCTTTTTCTGATATGGCCACTTTTGCTGCAACAGTATTAGCAATAAAATAAAAGACTATATTAACATATATATTTTATAGAAAGATACAAATTTTATCTTTAAAAATAATCTGCCTACCTTTCTGAAATTTGTTTTTTCCTGTAAAACAGACCTATATAGTCTTACTAGTTGATGGTTTTTCATAGCTCCTAAATTGTAAAAATACACGAAAAAACTACTAATACAACCTTTAAAAAAATCCTGCAGTGTTGTACTATTGGTATATACTGTTTTCACGGTCATCTAGTACCAAAAATCAGTGCAAGTTTAAATTTCCTTAGTGACACTACCTTAAATGATAATGCTGTTTTATCCTTAGCTGTTCAATGGTAAGGAAGGCAAAGTAAGCAATTTTCTGTGTAGATGAAGAAAAAACACTGAGGTTTTTCCCAATACATTTCAAAACCATCTTTAGTAACTGAAGGCAGCAAATTATTAAAGGCCAGGAAGCAGGTCAGGTTGAAAATACATATTAGAGCACTTTGGTAAGGAAGTGATGTATTAGAGGTGATTGGGAAGGAAACAGAATCAGCCTAAAACCTGGTCTAATGAAATCAGCTAAAACTGGTCTGTTAACTAAACTGATTAGTAAATAGTTTCTTTACTTCCTCCCACAATTATTTTTCTGCAAAATATCCCCAAACCAACAGTACTGTTACCCTGATCGAAACCATTCCTCCTGTAATGAGTTAATGCCAGCTCCTCAACTGAGCACATGACTGTGGATACCCTGCAGTCTTCGCCTCCTTCTCCATCACCAATGTCCTCCATGAGAAACACAGATTTTCCCATTCCCGTCTGAGGACACATCTTTCCACTGATGGTAACCTGAACATATTAAAACATTTGGTTATTTTCCAGCATCACATTTAAAAAATCTTTAGTCCCAAACCCTCTTTTCAGTTTTCTTAAAATCAGGATTAGATTTGTTTCCAAAAATCAACTGAATAAAATTTAACCTGTCATTCCTGTGTAACCATCCTCTCTAGCTTTTATAAACCCTCACATTTTTAAGAAAACAAATGTCTACCAAAATTCTGGGCAGATGGGAATGTAGACTTTGTGTATGCAGGACCAGGAGCAAAACCACAGAAAACTGAGGAGACAGACTCTGGGCTGAGACAAAGAAGGGCTGCAGGGAGACATGTCATAAGGAGGCTGAGAGAGGAACTGAGGCTCTGCTTTGATTTTGCCCAGACAGAATTTCCTTTACAATGGTATGGAAAAGATAGACTTTTTAAAAAATCCATTCCAATATGATGCAAGTGCCCCACACTGAATATTTGCATAACACATATTTAGAATGCAAAACTTCCAAAGGTTCCTAAAAGAACAGTGGCATTTTTTTTAGCCATTAATCTAATGCTGACTACATGCTAAGGTTACTATAACTTCATCTAGCACACAGAATGGTTGGCACCAGAGGCAATGCACTGATCTGATCAGACTCTTCAGCCAGAAAGGCTCTAAGGCATTACTGATAAATTGGTGGAGTTTATGGCTGATCACATCTATAACAAATATAAAGCAATGCAAATTAGATCAGTGTACAGCTGACTAACTTCAGATAAGAAGCTATCAGACGTAGAACTATTTGCTTACAAGGGGCTTTTGTTTTAGAAACACATTTGTATTCCTTTTCCTGCACCATGTCAATCAGAGGCTGGTGCACAGCATGTAGCAAGTCTTTCAGATTACTTTTCCTTGTCAGAAGTAAAAAGAGCCCACGAGTCGCTGCTCCCGTGCTTACGTGAGTCACATCGTGCACGGTCAGGATGGGCAGGTCCTGCAGCAGCCCCTGGAACTGCCGGCAGCTCGGGGAGTCCCTGATGCGAAGGGCGCGCTGGCACAGGGACAGGCGGTGCCCGGTGCGCACAGCTGGGTCTGCCAGCCCCCTCCGGATGCAGCCAATGGCCTGGCAAACAGCAAGGGGACAAACAACAATTTACACACACCTCTCACACCTCTCTGTACAAGAGCAATTGATTTAAGCACACAAACATGTGAGTGTAAGAACAGGACAGGGTACCTTGCTAAGTGATGTGGTGAAGTTCTAACCAACGAGTAACTTTTTGCACAGGGAGGCTTCTGGATTCAAATTACAGTAAAAAATAAAGTCCTCTCCGTTTCTACTGATCAGTATAAGATTAAGGAAGTGGATTCATTTTCTTAGTTGAAACTGGTTGTCTGACCTTAGGATCCCTAACAAAATCTGCATTTTTAGGAGACTCTACTCCACTGTTCTTTCCATAAGAAATACTTAAAGAAATTATTTCAGGCAATGCCTGCAGTGTTTCCAGCTTTCCAGCAGCAGTTGTGAAGATACCTTCTTAGTGTTTTTCAAGTGCTGATGTAAATTCAGAGCCAGCCGATCCCACCATCTCCCTCTGCTGTCAGCACAATAGACATCCTGGGCCAGGAGGCTCTGCAGCTGCTGCACTGCTTCCTGTAGCAATGGGATTGTACCTTTATTAGTTCGATTACAAAACCAAGTTCAAGTTAGCCTGTCACTTTCCCTTCTAACTAATGAATACTACAGAAACCTTGTCTCTGGACAATCCAAACCTACTTTTTACTCTGTTACCCAATATACCCATTTCAGATCCTTACATGTATCTTAAAAACTCTAGAATATCTCTATTTTTATGTAAACTTAAAGGTTAGCTGCCAAATAGGCAGTATTTTTATCCTTTCTGTAACCCTTATTGTATATGAAAAGTATCTTAAGTATTACTTGTTGCTTTTTTGCAGAGGTGAAGTCTTTTTCAAAAAAATCTGATTAACATGTAAGTCAGAAGCCTTTGGAGATGTGAATTCCCTAAGGGGCAACGTTTTCTAGAAGACTTCTTTTCCAAGATTTTTCTCATTTAAAAGCAATAGCCAAATCTAGTGAAACACAGCTACCTTTAAATAATGAAACAAGCATATCTCAGCAATAGTTTTATGATGTATTACATATGGTAGATCTTCAAAGCATAAGCAGAAATCAAAACAATTTAAAACTTTCTAAAGCAGCACAAAAAAGGCTCTTTTCCCTTAAAAGTAACCTGCTACTAGAACCATAGCAAGCTCTGGCAAACATAACCACCATTTTCCAGCCACATCAGAAATGTATATTGATGTACAAAAATCAAGCACATATTTCTATTCACCTCACCAGTTTACCTTATACTTGTGAAGTCTCTGCAGAATTTCAACTCCTTGAGAAAGGATTCTTGTGTACACCCAGCCGACTGTGAAACGTCGCAGGTAATCAGGTAAAAGTCTGTGATAGCTGAAAAATAAGAGCAGTTCAGCTCAATTTCATCATGTCAGTTTTACTAAGAATACCTATACCTAAAGCATTTACCACATTAAATGCCTTATATATCCAAATTGATCTGGAGTATCCCAGCTGCAAAGTCAAGAACCCAAAGGTAAGGCAATAGTTTTGCTTAAGGAGCAGATACAAGCTGCACTTGCACAGCATACTTTAATTTCAACACCAGTAGAATTATCAGTTCATCAGTTTCATAACAGACACAAAACAGTAACTTACTACATCACATTTTGTTTCCAACTCATTCTCATAAGTCAGCAGTTTAACTTCAGAAACAAAGCTGAACAAAGTAAAATGTCTTGAACAGGAGTTTCCTGCCACAAAAGAAGACTAACATCTTTTCAGTAGGCACCTCTGTGTTTCAGAATAAAGTCTTTTGTCCTGAATGTTTTACTAAAATCAAAGTAGATTTTTCCACTGTCTTCAGTGTAAAATGGAACAGACCTCCAGATTAGCCTCTATGAATATTATTTTAAGTCAGTTGCCACGGAATTGAATATAATGCCAAACATAAGGCTTTAACCTGGAGTATGTCATTAAGCCAGAAAACAAAATAAAAGAAAAACTGATGAAAAACACCTCAAATCCAACACATGTTATTTCAGTTCTCAGATATCCCATAACATTTCCTGAGCAACACCCACTTGGAAATCTAAAGACATGAATAACCCAGCATGTTTTCCCATAACATTCGCAACATCCTTTTGTTCACAGTCAATTTTAATTTCTGCTTATTGCCATTTGTTTGAAAGCCATTTAAAAAAATAAAAAAACCTGTGACAAGGGAAAAATAAGGCTCTTGTTTTCCTGCACTGGCACATAGAATAGAATTGTTCTAGTGCTATATCCATGCCTACCAACTCTTTCCCATGATTTTATAAAAAAAGTCTTTTCATATTGTAACTCAAAAGCTAAACAGTCAGGAAGTTCCAAGCTTTCAAGACCATTGAAGTCTCTTGCTTTATCAGGTTTAAATAACACCCTTAGTTGATAAGCCTCTCTCCAAAGGAAAAGCACCCAAGGTAAGATAATACACTTAACAGTTTCCAGTTTACTACCTCAAAGAGGGGTGATTCTTCAGTTCACTCCAGGTTTCTTTAGCACACAAATAGAGATTATTAGCTTCTTCCCAGTTCCCATTTACCATAGAGGTGGCTATATCATTTGAGAGATGAACAGCAGTTGCATACCTGTGGTAAAAAACTACAACTTTATTACACTTAAAAATCATCTATAGCTGAAAGAAATAAATTCTTTTCCTTCCAGTCTCCAAAGACATTGAATCATCCAAAGACATGCAGCCATCTTTATTCCTAATCTTGTAGAATTAGCAGAGTTTAAACTAGCAGGGCACATCATGTTTAAATTTACTTAACACTAGAGAATATAATTTTTGTTTAGCTCAGAATCAGCACAGCAAATGAAGAAACAGCTTTCATCACATGATCATGAAGCAAATAAATAAGCTATTTTGTTTCAAAGTGCAAGCCACTGTGAATTACAAGCCCTGCCTCAATACAAAAATGTACTTAAAAAAATTGCAAAAGTAACACTTCTAAATATTTACAGCTGGAGTTCTACATTTGGACTCTTATTGGCCTGCACAAGTCTTGCAGTAAAGCTTTTCTAGAAATGAACAGAGTTCCAAGTTGCCAAAGCTCTTCTTACCTGATGAGATCCTCTCTGTCCTGGAAGACCTGTGTTTTCCTGTTTACTGCGTAACTGGGGAACACCATGTGCCCCATGTTTGCCCTAAGGACAGTGGAGAGCAGGCCTTGCCCAGCACTGCTGGCTTCTTCTTCCTCCAGCGACTCAGGCAGTGAAAACAGCAGCAGGATTCGGGAAAAGACAGCCCGAGTGCCTTTGCACACCCTGACACATTTTCCAGCCAGGTCTTTCACCCTGGAAGGACAAATAAAAATATTATAACATGGTTTTTACCATGACTTGTAAAAACTAAAGTATACTGAATGAAGTATAAGAACAATTTTTTTCAAGCCAATTAAAGCATAAACTTGGTTTTCCTTGAAAGAAGCAGACTGACTATGCAGTTTAGTATTTACCCTTCCCTTTGACTGTGAATTGAAATGTAATGCCACCTTTTTTATTAATAAATTTACTAAATGCATCCCTCTCTTGAAAAGGCATCTAGATTTCAGTCATTTGAAGCACAACGTCCATTCACCTGCAAAATTTAGCTGTAAACATTTACCTTTTCAAAATCACTGTCCCAATACCAGCCTGACTCCTGCTGAAGATTGAACGCTGCTTTGACAACTTCAGAAAATCATCCACAAGTTGCTGTTTCTGACCGTTTGGGTTTGGCAAGTGAAAGACTTTTGCCAGTGCTCTTAGCTCAGGGGCTGAAAGCAAATCCAACCCTTCACACAGGTCTTCCAATTCAGATTCTAAAAGTAAAATGATACACGTGTATTTATTGTGCTATACACATACACTGAAGCAACAGCTCAGGGTACAATCATACAGCCTAGCACTAATCAAACGATTTAGGTTTGGATGGCTGGAAATAAAACCCCATAGGCCGGTGTCTGTAGAGCAGGTATTTGTTTATTGCAGCGCTGGAGGTGAGGGGGATTTCTCCTCCTAACTCAGCCATCTTTGATAAGTGCTGTGGAATATTTACACAGTAAGTATTGCTTAGTGTTACTGTGTCACTGGATCAACATCATATACACACCAGAATTAATTTACATGGTATGACCTGATGGTTATTACATTGTTCTTTTGCACTGTGCTTGCACCTCCCCAGCTCGGGGAACATCAGGGGCCTTTGATGAAGGCTTCCAAAGCCTTCTTCACATCTGAACTTTTCAACTCTGGTTTTGGAGCATGCACAGCTATGGTGCTCCTTGGTCTGCCTGGTCCTAACCAGTCTAAATTTTTTATTTTGTGGCTAATTTGCTTTACACATTTGCCAACTCCTCATTAGTACTATACTTATTGATCTCTGAAACTATCTACCTGCTGAGTCTTTTTCTTCATTTTTGTCTATTCAGCATTAAGCAACTAGTTAACCATACACTCCCTTACATTGTATGGAAAATTATTTATATCTGGTTATATAGGTAAAAAAGTTATGATTTGGGTTATATTTGTATAAAAGTTATGATTCAGATTATATTGATATCAGATTATACAGATATATAAAAAGTCATGATTTAGCTTATACTGATATCAGGTTACATAGCTATATCAGGTTACATTGATCTCTTATAATTCAAGTATATAACCACCTTGTAACTCTGACTTAAGTTATACAGGCATCAGGCTCTTAAAAAATGTATTAACAAATACAATCTGGTTCACCTTGAAATTCTTCTGCACCTTCTTCTGGACCCTTTCACAGGTCTGTTTTGAAGGAATGGAATAACCAGAAAAAGAACACTCTTTACAACTTCAAAACAACTGCAAAGATTAAAAAATTCTGTTGAGTTATTAAAAAAATGCTGCCCAGAAAAACTGATCTTCTCCATTATCTAAGTTGCACTATTTGTATTTTCACAAGACCATTCATCTACCTGAAGCCTTTATTCTGTTCCTCTATTCTCTTTCCAAAGCACAGACAAGCATGAAGTGCATTGATCTCTAACATGCCACAATTTCAGATTTTATTTGTAGTATTTTAGAGGTTTATTAATGCTGGCCTTACCTGTTTGTAGAAATCTGGCCTCAGCCAGTTCTTCAATTATTGGTGACAAATTCATGCTTATCTCCTCATATTCTATTTTGTTCACCTTTAACCAGTTCAGCTTGCGTTGAAAAAGTCTCACGTACAATTTCTGCCCACCAACTGCAAATTTTATTTAAAGCAGGGAAAGACAAAAAGAAGAGTAAATTCTAAACACAGTACTTTGATGTAAGAAAAATTATTTTGATATAAATACTCTCTAAAACATTTTAAATCTCCCTGTGTTCTACAAGCAGACTTGGTAAAATATCAGTCTTACCTTTCCAAGTAATTAATAAGTGTATTAGAAGCTTTAAGTTTTGTATGTGGAAAAGTATTACAACATATTTTGTAGGTAATGTACATTAATCTAAAATGCATTTTGACATGCTTACCCTTCAAGAAATATTTAGTTTTATAGAAAAAGAACTTAATTTTTCAACCCTGCACTTTCTGTTATTACATAGGTATTTTTGCTTTCTTAAACAGTCATTCAATAACCAAATATTTCATGCTAGGGAACAAAAGAAGCTGCAGTCTGACAGAATAATTTCATAATCACAGAATACCTTTCTGTACAGCATTCTTCAGATTCTAATTTTTCCAAAGATAAACCAACTTATACTAACATATCTACTGAAAACAATGAGAAAAAAGAACGTCCTATTCATTTGGTTTTTTTCAGGGAAGTATTCTTTTAAAGTACCTTTTAAAAAGACTTTTTAAATACTAACAATGCTGAAATTCAACAAAATAGCTTATTAAATTTTAGCTGAAAATAGTCTAGCTATTATTACTACATTCAACAACCTTTTGAATACTTAATTCAATCCCCATTAACTTCTAAATTTTTTACCCCTGTCTGCTGCTGCTTCACTGAAACTGATCATTAATAAAAAACACTGAAACATTACCAGACCTAGACATACTTAAGAAATGGAAGATAAACGCTAAATATTTATTTAACAATTCTCCTGTCCTTATAAAGTTTTTTCAGCCTTTTCTTTAATAGAATCTTTCCAGGATCAGTTCACTGGGAGAACTACATTCAGACATATAAGCTTGTCATTTTCTCTGTGGGGTTATAACTCCTTTAAAGTCTGTCCCTAATTTTTATCATTCTGGAAAAAGGTTAACACGTGGACATTCTTTCTCCAGACCACAGAACTGACCAAACTAGTGCTGCAATAATAATTTCAGAATAAGCTTCATAAACTTACACTGAGTTAGAGAAAACTCACTGAAGAATGGTAGACATTTCAGCAGAAAATAATTAAATACTGGAAAATACCTATATTCAAGCAACTTGAGTAAGGAGGTGTGTGAGCTTTTTTCTGTTATGATAACTGAAAGATGAACTTGGGTAGAAACTTCTCATGTGGGACAGATAACTCTTCTACCTGAACTTTTAAAGTATCCTGCCTGGTATTTCTTGAAGGCAATGACATCCATCTGTCAGTTGTCCAGGATTTGTTATCTATTGACTTAGTGCTATCATCTCACTTCTCACAGCTCAACTGCTGCATCTTTCCTGTCCTGTAAAGAGAGATTGTTTCATCCATGACCCTCACATCCAGTGCAGATATGGATTTATCAGCACCACTTTGCAGTAATTCTTTCTATATTCCCAATTCACAGGAGAGGGGAATTCTGAAATCACACTACTGAAAGAGAAACAAGTTCTTTTATCTAACAGAACAAGCTCCTGTTATTGATCAGTGTTCTTCATGTGGAAACAGTGTGGAAATGGGGAAGGTGTATCCTGAACATCTCTTTTAGTGTTTGTAGCCAGTGCCTGCATACACTACTAGCCTGAGTTTATTCCTGGATCTTTGGATGTGATTGATGTGCGTGTACTGCTTGCCTCAGGGAGTTGTTGCTTTCCTTCTTCATATATTCCCCTTTAACTACCTCAAGATAAACAAGGCATTACCAAGCTCCAAGATGTCACTACTGTAATATTCTTATGGTCTGGAGTGCACCAATGGGCTCTGCAGACTCTCCCCTGGGTTTGGCTGCTTGTCTCCATGGCCAGCTCAGATCCATTAGAATGCAAGCCAGGCTGCTGGGAGCACTGTGGGAGGCTGTCCCACCCCATTCTCTCAGGAGCTGTACCTGAGATGTAACAACATTAGGAGAGTTTATTTACAAAAAGCCACTGAGGGGTACATCTCAGAAAAAGGAGCTTCTTCTCTTAAATAATTCATCAAATTAAGTTGTCAATTGATATAGCACTTCTCACATAAAACTATGTAACAATGCTCTCTACAACAAGAAATATGGAAATGTATTTTTTTTAAAAAGATACCTGATAATTTGTAGAACTTGGTTATAACGTTCAGATCTTGTTCATTAAATAGTCTGACATCATCTTCATTCTCCAATACTGCTCGCAGTATTACTAAAAAATTCTGGAGGTAGTATGGGTGACCAGGAGAGCTGGGCACAGAGAGGACCTCATCTATTTTGTCTAGAATGTCTGCAGTAGAATCCTGAGACTCTGCCTTTTCCACAGTTTCTAACAAAGTATGGTTCATGTCATTCTTAAAGTCTTCAAGAACTTCCACAGGAAGCACCTCTGCCTCATCCTTGCTAAAGCAATCTTCTGTCCCACAGTTCACTTCTGTCTTTGAAGAAGGAGTAACCTCAATGTGAGGCTGAGTCTCGACTTCCAAATTACTGGTCAGCCCTGCTGAAGTATGGATGGCTAGAGATGTTTCAAATTTATCAGGACTAAGTATCCCATCTTCAGACCTGCCTTCTGCTTTGGTGCTCCTTGTATCAGATGGGAAACTTTTGTCATTACTGTTATCAGCCAGTAAAGGTACTTGAACCGTATCTAGAAGGTCTTCTCGATTACATTTGTTTATTTCATTTTGAAATTCAGATTCCCTCTTTGAAAAATTTTGTTCCTGGTGCTCTCTCTGAGAAGGCTGATTTTCTTTCTGAGAACTCTGCCCAGCATCAATCTCATCACCATCATCACCTGGAGCTGCAGCACTTCCACAGGCACTGTGAACAGCTGGAGGTGAAGAGTTGATCTCTTCATACAAGACTTGTTTTCCTCCCTGCAGACAGCGTCTTCTGGACAGCTTTGAAGACAAGCTTCCCAAGGAGACTATTCTAACTGTTTGAGCCTGGGATTCATTGTTAACACTAAAGACTGAACTATTACTGCTAAAGTAAGGACTAGTCTGTTGTGCTGCACTCCCTCCTGCTTTCAATAAATCATTTTTGGAAGGACTTGTTTCTAGATTTAAGAGGTTTTTCGAAAAATATGAGCTGGAATTATTGCTCAGATTTGCAGCTGGGGGATTCTTATTCCTAAAAGAATTCAGTGTAGCATCAGTGACACCAATCTCACTATGGTTTCTCTGACATGTTTCATCAATGTGCTCATTTATTCCATATCTTGGCACCAATTGCCCACACATGGGACAGTTAATTTTGGTAGGGGGGACATTTTTAAAAAAGGAAGTAATAGAGGATGATGCTGAAGGCGTAGATGGTGCTCCTGTAACTTCCACTTTTTTTGTTTCTTTTTTCTTCTTATTTGTACTGAGTGACAAACTTATTCGGGATCTTTTGATTCCTGAGGACCTAGATTCTGCCATTACAAAACTTCACGGCGACTGCATGGCACAGATAACTCCATTCAGGCCATATTTCTTTATGCTGTAATATTTTAAAAGCTTTTCTTGGCTTTTCCTTTTCCACCTGTAATCCTCTGACATGCTTTGAAAAAAAAAATACATTGATTGAGTGGTTTTCTAAGCAACCAAGATGAACAGAAGACAAGCGAAGTCAAACAATCCTTAACTTATAAGGTTACTGTCCTTTAGCGTGCCTTACCAGGCAGGGAAGCACATCACAGGCAAGCTGAACACAGCAGATACCTTTAAATGCCTTAATAAATGGAAAATTAATCTCAAGTTTGCATTTGCACCCTTCCAGTGCCCGGCTACCCTCGATGTGAAGAAGTTCTCCCTCATGCTGAGGTGAAACTTCTTGTGTTTTAGTTTATGACCACTGCTCCTCGTCCTGTCTCTAGGAATATTTTACCACTGTCTTGTTCGCTACTCACAGACTATTTTCTGTGCCAAGCCCTCGTTTCCAGAGCACTCACAGGCTGCCCTGCAGCTCTCCCTCTCACGGCTGCCGTGCCTGCCGAGCCCGTGGTGCGCCCGGGCCGAGCTCTGCCAGGGCTGGGGCTCAGGAGCTGCCGACACCCCCACACGGCTGTCCAGGCGCTCTGGATGGCGGGGCCCAGCCTCCCCATCGATTCCCGGCTCCGCCATCCTTCCCGGCCCGCCCCTCGCCGGCCCGCCCCGCTGCAGCCACAGCCCCTCCCCGCGCTGGGACCCCCTCGGCCGCCCGTGCCCCCGAGAAAAGGAGCCCAGCTGGAGCCCCCACAGCCCGCCCCGGCCTCCCGCCCTTCCCCACGCACCGGCACCGCAGCCGCGCGTCGTTCCCGGGCCGTACGGGGCCGGGCCGTGCCGGGAGGGCCGGGCCGCTCCGCCCGCCGCCAGGCCTGAGCAATGCAGCGCCGATGGCGGACACCGCGCTCTGCGGGCTGCCTCAGGCAAACACCGCGCCCGCCCCAGATTTAATATTTCCTTTTACCACAACGCGTGGAAAACAATTGAGGTCCACAGAAACAACAACTGGAGGATTCATTTGTTGGTGGTAAGGTGAAATATTTTCACCCTGAGAATTATTGTTTGTATGGACAATGAAAACGGTGCTGATATGGGAGATGATTCCTCTGACTGATAAAAATAAGCATGAAGAGAAGGGACCTTTTCCCTGCCTGTCAGAGGAGGGACCAGGCTCGGCTCGGTGCTCCCAGCAATGGGACACCATTGAGGCAAAGGGCAGAAACAGACACACAAGGAAGAACTTGTTTAGTGTGCAGGTGACTGAGCGCTAGGCCGGGGTGCCCGCAGAGGCTGGAGTGTGTGGAGTCTCTCACTGGAGCTATTCCACAACAATCCTGTGCCATGTGCTCTGGGATGACCCTCAGCCAACTGAGGTCCCTTCCAACCCAAACCATTTTTGGACTCAGTCTAAGCTAAAAGATGCCATTTCCAGCTTTGGGTTACCATAGGCTTAAAAATCTTTTGGGTCCTCCCTCTTTGCCTCTTTGAAATCACAATTTCAAAATATAATTGCTATAATTTAAATACCTGGATACATCTTAAGTTCTTCAATAAATGCAGTTCCTCCTGCTGTACATCCAGAGCTATTACAACAGCAGATGCAAACTCTGGGTACAGTCACAGCACATGTCAAGTATTTTATACTGCAATATATCTGCCTACACCAAGAATTCTTCTTTCTGGAAGAAATCAGAGTTCTGTGATAGAAAATAAGAGTAAAATCTACAGAAAACGGTCTGAGCATCACCTCAGAAGTTCGCAAAGTATTTTAAAGATCAACACAGAATAAAACCCACTCAAATTCAGAAAAAAAATTAATATATACAAGATGCAACATAAAAGGTAAATTACAACTTCAGTTTATGAACAGAGATTGCTTTCTCCTTCTTCTGTTTCTTCTTTAATTTGCTGGCATCTTTGATTTGCATTCTCACTTGATCTTGTAGCTGAGAAAAGAAGGCCTGAGATGATTTCAAGGCCTTGTCTTTACCTTCATCCTGTCATTGGAAAAAACATTTGTTATAACCAAGAAACATACAAACAGTACCATTATATTACTTAGTAATTTCTCAAGCATAATGGTATTTGACTTTAAAAATATCTGGTAACCGATTTTCAAAGGATATTGGTCACCACAGTTTTATTCCACTCCTGCTATGTAAAAAAATAAAAATTACATTTTCTTCCTAAGTAGCAATTAGCATGATAGGTAAGAGCAGGCATCAAGAACAAATCCTTGCACATCATGAACTACAACTGGGTATCTGCACTTGGTGTTCTACTTGCCTTCTGAAAAGCTAAGTACAAACATCGAAGTAATGAAGTTATTTTTCCTCTTAGTTTCTAATACTTAAAAATTTCTGAGATTTTTAGAATTTTATTTAAAAGGCATCATAAGTGATGCACAAGTTTACTGTTTTTATAGCATTCAGAACAATAGCAATCTGATGAGATTACAAGGAAGGCTCCCCAATAAAGACAAAGTTAAATAGGAATAAGTTACCCAAAGCTTATACACAACATAGAAACCTCAATGTGTATTCAAGTAGTCCCACATGATGAAGTGGAATGGATTAAATGCAGGAAATAAAGAACATGTCTTAGTATTTGCAGGTACATCACCCCATGAACTTTGAAATAAACAGAAAAGTAGCACCTCACACAAAATAATTTCTGCCTGATGAGCATACTTTTATATAGAGTAATTGTATCATACAGCTTTTTGATATTTTTCCAACCTTATACTTGTAATTCTTCGGGATAAAGTTTCCTTTCCTCTAACGAAAAATTATCTATCCTTGTGATTTCAGTCTTACCTTGAGCAGAGATGCTTTGCCTTCTTTGGTAAGCCTTTTTAATTTTGCTACAGCAGCTTTTTTGCTAAGTTTTGTGCCTTGTTCTGGTTTCATCTTTTCAAGAAGCTTTTGACGTTTCTCCTTTTCCCTTCGCCTCATACGTTTTCGGAGCTTTTTCCTTCTTAGTTCTCGTTTTTTGTCTGTGGGAGTCTTTTCTGCATCTGTTTTTACATCACCAGCTTTGTTCTTTTTCTAAATAGATCCATAACACACAAGACTCACTTCACAGAACTCAAATCTGTCTCAGCATTTCCATTATTTTAAGTGCCAACTCAGGATAAGGCAAAGGCCAAAACCAGACAAAAGCTGGGAAATGAGATTTGTACAACTGATCCAGGACATGCTAATTGCTCTCCTCCAGTGTCATTTAGCTTTCCCCCTCTCAATACCCATATAAATGTTGGGACAACAATGACCACGACATAACAGTCAAGATCAAAACCAAAGCATAACATTATGGCCTACTGGAGCCAAATAAAATTTACTCTTTCCCTGGTTAGCAAAAAAAACCCCAAAACCAAACAAACCAAAAATAACACCTTAGCCCCCAAAACATCCCAACAACCACCAATGCTAAAATATTAGGCAAAAAAGTCCACAAGGTGAGAAACCACCCACCAGATGGGAAGGCCAAAATTCCCACTGATCTGACAGACACATCCTCCTATAAAGCACACAGATCCTCTCTCGATCCCTGTGCCGTTTTCTATTTACCTTGATCTCCTCTGGTGCTAAGAGAGCAGCATCACTAACAGCAACTGGTGCTACTTCTTCCATACTTATAGCTGGAAGGTTCGAAACAATTTTAACTTCTGGCACCGGCTAGAAATAAGGAGACATATTCAGGACTGAGCACAGCATCTCAGCAGCTGACAGACAACTGAAGATCACAGGGTTTGTTTTAGAAGCAATCACAGTGCATGTAATATTAAATAAGAATGAGCTCAGTAAACACCCATGTTTACTTTGCTTTCCATTTCTGGAATATATTTTAAAGTATCCAGTTAAAAAGAAAGGGAGAAAGCCCTCAACCTTATGAAACATGTGCACTTACTGGTTTAGGTGTGAAGTGGAAATTACAAAGTGCATCCAGCTTCTGGAAGAGTGAATCCATCATTTCCTGAATTTCTTTGTGTTCAGGATTTTCTTCCTCTTCAGTCTTTTGCTGCAATAAAAATGCAATGTAACTGTAACACCATTCATAAGGCTATTTTACTTTAGTAAGACTGGTAACAACACAACTTATAATTCAGAGCCCTTTCACTGGTGAACACTCAGAGAAAGACTGAATTACTTCCACTTTGAAGGGTATAAATGAACACACAGATGTACATGGTGTGAACTTCAAACCCAAAGGAAAGGCACTGTTTATGTTACCTGGTGAAGTTTCATGTATTCTTGCTCGTAGATTTCAGCGAGACTCAGCTTACTCTTTTCATGATCCAAACTGATCCGCTTCTTGTACTCAAAAGCTTCCTCTTTGGGTTTTTCTTTTGGTACCACATCATCCCATGCCTGAGAAAGTCACAAAGTAATGACCAAATGCAACTACAGTCAGGTACCAGCTACATCTTATTTAGAACATTTTTCAGTTATTTATCTGGCACATTAACTAGTTTATGCATGTAGCTCCCCACACTTTCATTAAAAAAAAAAGTAATAGAAGTTATAGCTCTACTTGTGCCCTTGGTTTTACTAAAGGCAAAAACTAACAAGTTACAAACTCTCCTTCATCTTTTTGAATTCAATGAACAGTAAGGCTCAATAATCTGTGAGATACAAATTTTCTATCAGTGGCTTTGAAGCAAAATGGAGCAAACAACTGAGTTTTGGTCAGTGTTCAGAATGCTCAGAGCACTAGTTATGGTAACAGCCAACACTGACAGGCTGTCTTTATATTCCAAATAAACTTACAGTTTTATCTGCACACACTCATGTTTGAAGTGCACCAAAACTTGGTGTAAAACAGGGATATAAAAATAGGGCTTCTTAGAAATCTAAAGACACATTCATCAAGACAAAAGAATAAAATAATCTGTTGCAGAAATTAGGACAATTCTACATCTAACATTGGAAATGCCTCAAACTCATCCTTGGAATGTGCCCTGTGAATCAAGTCTATGAACAATATAAGGAAAACAGGTAAGATAATATTAACCTCATCCAATATTCTCTGTTTAATGATATCTTCAAGCTGAAAAGTAGTTTCTTCTGTGATCACAGGTGCTGAAAGGAAAAAGCAAAGAATTTTAAGATTAATGTTTCTCCAGCAAGAAATAGTTCTTGTTCTGTAAAGAATAAACCACAGAAAAACAAAGTAAAATCTTCACAAAAATACAACAACTGAAGGTGAAGTAAGTAAATGTAAGTAAAAGTAAGGCATATTATGTAAGGCTGATAAATTACCAGGTCTGTCAGCAACATTATGAACTTTCAGGTAAATTAAAAACTAACCAAAAAAAGTTATAATTTCCTGTAGTTTCCACTGTGAAAATGCACAACCTCAAAATCACATCAAGAAGTTTAACCTGGTGTCCTGTTACCCTGCTCTTGAGTCACAGGTGTTTGTTTTCAGCAAGGTCAAGGGGCAGAACACCCAACATGGTCTGCAACATGCTGTAAGCAAAGCCCTGTCCCCCTCCTCACCCATTCGGACTGCATGGTCAAAAAGCACTGTTTCTTCCAAAAGGCTGTTCTCAGGGCGTTTCTGTCCAGTCACTTCTCCTTTAAGCTGCCAGGGTTTCTCCTCTAACAATGATTCTTCCAAGCTTTTTATTTTTTTGCTCATCTGAAAAACACAATTTCTTAGGAAGTTTAAAAGAGAGCTCAGTCGTAAACTCACAGCAAAAAATTAGTATTTATTTCAGGTGTGTGAGGGAATATATGATTGCAGATGTATCTATGTAGATAAACCACGTTCTCCTTAAATTTTAAATACCCTCTTTTTATTTGCCAGACTCTGAAGAAATGACACAAGCAGTAAAAAAAAAAATAAATTTGCCGCTGTTTCGAAGCCTAATAAAATATGAACAAAACCCAAAGAAAACCAAACCAAAATTACCTTTTCTTGTCTCTTCTCAAATGATGACTTTATTTCATTGGGATTGATGTCCTTCTCTAATTGCACTTCAGTTACATGTTCTGTTTCACTGTCATCTGGCAAATTAAAAGTTACTTTTTTAGAAGCTTCTTTACTTCTCATGTGCTCCACCATTTCATCCATATCCTCAAACCTGCAACAATAACATTTAATATAAAAGAGAAGTTGAGAAGCCTTTATAATTTTTCACATGAAAATATTTCAGCCCTTAAATGTTCACCTGTTACACCTAACTTACAGTTTACAACAGCTCTCAAAGACCCCCTGAAAGGTAGAGGACACTAGGGAAACTTCTGGATAATAAAAATAACTTTGAACAACTCTTAAATGCTTTATTCAAATAAAGATCAAGGACCAATATTTAAAAAAATTAAATAAGCTGATTTTACATAAGGTGGTAACACAAACCATGAACATACAACAGTTAACTGAGAATGGCAAAATATGACCAAAGTGACCATGCATTCTCAGTATTTTCTGCTTTACCTTTAGTGTAAAATTATGAGGACATTTTACCTGCTTTTTACTTACTCAGACATACTTTCTTCATTTTGCTCTTCAATAGCACTGTCTGCTTCCTCTTCCTGATCCTCTTCAGCATCATTAGCTACTAAATCATCATCACCATCATCATCATCAACTGAATCGAAGAAATCTTCGTATGTCATATCTCTAGAACTTTTAACTGGCTAAAAAGGTGAGAGGGAAAGAAAAAAACAAGCAATGAATCACGTTGTTAAGACTGACAGAAATCAAAGGGTATCCTGTCTTTTAAAGTCTTTAGTGCCTGAGGAACAGCACTACTTGTGTAACAGTAATTCAGGTTAGTGATGCATTAACCTGTGGTAGGGCATCATAGTAAAACTGATTTCTTTCCTGGAATTTACAGTTCTCTACCACTTACACATACAGAAGTCAAGGAGCTGTAGATTTTGCCAAATACTTCTTGGAATGCACACTAATTCCCTGAGTATATATTTCTTACTTGCGAGTGAGAATGTCTGGTAATATTAAATAATAAAATACTTATTTTTGTATCAATTACTCATCAGTTTAAGTTGTATCAGAGTTATGAGGCTATATCCCTGGGAAAAAGCTCTTTGCTCTGCATCAGCCACCTTAGTGATCTCTTATTGCCAGATACTGAGTGACAAATCTTTTTCATTTGCTGGGTCACCTATTCTGCAATTTTTCAAGGTCCCTAATTTCCTGTGGGCACTATCTCTTCCTTTCTTTATGTAAAAATTTAAGGCCCATGTAAGGAGAGACTGGAATAGCAGGATGCTATGTTCTTTTACACTAGGAAGTTTTCTTACCAGATATTAATTGTTAAAGTAAAGCTTAAGAAGTTATCATTAGTCACCTGAACAAATGTAATTTGGCAGTTCCTACACAGAGTTAGACACTTTGTGGTCATCCTAACAGATATCAGATTTTGATTTAAAGGAAAAGAGATACCACGAAATTATTTTACTGATATTCTTACTTTGACTTTAGCTTCTTCAGAGTCTTCCTCATCATCTGAGATAATGTCTTCAAAATAATTAATATCATCTTCTTCTTCTTCTTCTTCTTCCCTGTCTTCCTTCTCTGCAAGTTCTAAAAAAGTTTCCATCTCAGCCAGCTTGAAAAACTTGTCATCCACTACAGATTTTCTTCCCTTTTTTCTCAATGTGGTTTCCTTGGCTGTTTTAGCTTGTTGCTCCAGTGCTTCAATATCAAAGTCAATATCAGAATCCTCATCACTGTATTTTTGCATTAAGCTTTTGCTGAGTTTACTTTGCTTTTCTTTAGCTTTCGGTTTATGTTTATCTTTATCTTTTGTATAAACATTCATCTCTTCAGTTTCTGCTTCCATTACGTTGTCTTCAAACTCCTCGTCACTGCTGGTCTCTGCATCAGAGCCATCTTCTTCCCGATCTGAGAGAAGGCAAAGATCTTCATCCTCGGCATCCTTTGCAATGGATTTCTTGAAGAAATCGAGAACTGCATTGTTCTGGAGCTCTAGTTGCTGCCAAATCTGTTCTTCATCAAAATTTTCTATCACCAGCTCTTTTAGGGGGCCCCCACGAACTATGTTACTTCCTTTATTCAAATCGTAGAGAGTCTTTGTCATTGCTCTGAAGTCGGCAGCCAGTCCATCCTGCACACTAAGAGCAGTAAAAAAAAAGAGCTTAATACTTTCCATGAAGTCAATCACACGGTCACACCGCTGCTCTTTTATCTGCTTTCAATAGTTACTGCTATTAGTTACTGTGGCTTAACTTTCCACGTATCTCTTGGAGTACTGCTACTACACATTCATAGGAAAAAAAAAAAAAAGACAAAATTCTTAATCCTTTCAACTTTATTACACTTCGTGTATGAAGTAGCAGTTGGACAGAAAATTCCAGCTTTCTACATCTGCATCTTACAATATGTTGATCCTATATAAGCACTCCAGACATTTTCGGGAAGTAAACAGTACAGCACTAAGCACCCCAATCGTGCAAGAGCCAGACTCCACGTTTCAAAGAGATAACTACCCTTCTCCACCGCCTCACTCCTCAACTTTTACACCTGAGTAGTCTCCTCCAGGTTTTTCTCTAGGGCTACCAATCCTCCCCCCGCCGCCCCGCGGTACCTGAGGAAGCACTCGGGGCGCGCCGCGGCCGCTCCCGCCACCCTGAGGCACGTTTGGATCCCCAGGACCCCCGGCACCGCCGCCATCGCCGCCATCAGCCCGCGCACACGTGTGTACCCGGCACCGCCTCCGCCGAGACACCCAGCGCTCCGGCCCGGGCGGCTCCCACGGCCAACGCTAAAGGTTCCGCACACAATGGTTCCGCCTGCGGAGCTCTG